GTCATCAGTTCTTGGGCCACTCCACTCGCTGCTCAAGAAAAACGTCCGCTGGTCATGGAGGCCAGTATATGAAGAATCCTTCCGAGCTTCAAAGGATTTGCTGTTGTCAGCTAGAGTGCTTGTGCACTATGACCCAGGTAAACAGTTAGTATTATCTTGTGATGCCAGCCCGTACGGTGTTGGCGCCGTGCTAGCCCACCGCATGCCCGATGGATCTGAGCACCCAGTCGCCTACGCTTCGCGTTCGCTTTCGCCACCAGAGCGAAACTACTCACAGCTGGATAAGGAGGGACAAGCAGTGATCTTCGGGGTGAAAAAGTTTCACCAGTACGTGTACGGTCGTCACTTCGAGATTGCTACCGATCACAAACCGCTGCTAGGACTGTTCAGTGAGGAGCAACTAGTATCCCCTATGGCGTCGTCCAGAATTCAGCGCTGGGCCCTCACACTCGCAGCTGATGACTATCACTTGGTGTACAAACCAGGTCACTTGAATGGCAATGCTGACGCCTTAAGCAGATTGCCACTGCCGGACACCATTAGCCATACTCCGGTTCCAGCAGACTACGTCATGATCATGGATCGCCTTAAATCTACCCCTGTCAGTCCAGACAAGATTCGTCTCTGGACTGGAAGAGATCCAACTTTGTCACTCGTTCGCACCTACGTTATGAACGGTTGGCCACGTGACTGTCAAGATCAAGGACTGAAGCCATACACTTGCCGCTCAGAGGAGTTAAGCGTGCAAGATGGCTGCATCTTGTGGGGATCTCGAGTCGTCATTCCCCCACAAGGCCGATCACAGATTCACGAAGAACTACACGATTCACACCCTGGAATCTCGCGAATGAAATCACTCGCTCGCAGCTACGTCTGGTTGCCTAGTATGGATAAAGACCTTGAAGATAAGGTCTAGCAATGTTCAGCCTGTCAATCCTCGCGGAAATCGCCACCAACTGTTCCACTCCATCCGTGGGAGTGGCCAAGTCGTCCATGGTCGCGCTTACACTTGGACTATGCTGGTCCATTCATGGGCCGGATGTTTCTTGTTATCGTTGATGCACACAGCAAGTGGCTGGACATCCACGCTATGCACACTGCAACATCGCAAGCCACAGTAGAACGGCTTCGTCAGACTTTCGCGACTCATGGACTGCCAGAACTCATTGTCACTGATAATGGCACCAACTTCACCAGTGCAGAATTCGAGAAGTTTCTGCAAGTCAATGACATCAACCATGTCAGGTCTGCCCCATTCCACCCTTTGTCAAATGGTTTGGCTGAAAGGGCGGTCCAGTCCTTCAAAGCCGCTATGATGCGCATGAAGGAGGGCACTGTAGAGACTAAACTGTCACGTTTTCTGATGACATATCGCGTGACACCACATGCAATAGGGTTATCCCCAGCAGAGATGTTGATGAAACGCCAGCTTCATACCAGACACGATGCAGTTAGACCAAACATCCAATGTCGCGTCGACAACAAGCAGCTAGCACAGAAAAAGTACCATGACAAGCGTGTCAAACCTCGTACTTTCCATACTCATGAGGCGGTCTTTGCTGAAAACTTCGCCTCTAGTCCTCGTTGGATCCCTGGTTTCATCACCTCCGCAATCGGTAACTACATGTACACTATTCAGCTTGAGGATAGTCGTGTCTGGAGACGACATGTAGACCAGATCCGACCCCGCCAGGTACCCGCGACATCCGTCATTGATCCTGTCGTACCTATGTCTTCAACAAGGGTGGAGGAGTCAGACAGAAACGAGCCTAGTCCCAGTAGGAAGGAGGAACCTGCACATCCGGTGGATCCTGACAAATCTCAGAACAATCCACCAACACCACAACCTTGTTGATCTAAACGCACGCATAACAAACCAGATCGATATGGGTTCCCAGATCTGTAACTGTTGGCTAGAACTCACAGATTGATTGCATGATTTACATGTGCTGTTTAATTGTTGACCTTATTTAGGTTACTCCAGTTTAAATGTTCTGAACTGTTTCAAAGTTGACATTGTTAAGATTGTTTTGGTTAACAGTTTAAAGTGTTTCATGTAAATGATTGAAATGCCAGTCTAGACTCATCACGTGATTATGGGAAAATTGTATTACGCTCATATTCAAACATTGGACATTACTTGAACAGTGCCAGTTTTAAGTGCAAAGCATCAAGTCATTAAGCAACCAAATTTCCAAACTATCTCATGCATGTGTTAGGAAGAGATGTTTAGTAACCTTGTAATTTCTAATCAGGAAATGTTAGGTTCAACTAAAGGGGGAGGAGTTGTAGTAACTTGTTCATCACTGAAAGTGTTATAGCGCCCTCTGTAGTTTGCCACTGAAAGCCTGTAACTGTGTGTTCCAATATGGCTGCCCACTGAGAAAGTCACGTAGAAATAAACAGTGTTTGCAACTCCCAAATTAGTGTTTTTGTCTGGTTATAACATTGCTCTAGATCATGATCACTACAGATATTGAGCAGCAAGGAACATGTAGCAGTTTCATTTCCGCCTGCTTTGACAGAGGATGATGACCAATCAATATCTGGGAGGTTGAAGTCACCTCCCAAGAAGATGATGGCAGATTTGTACATTTGCCTAATTTTGTCAAGAGAGTCATTTAGTTGATACAGGTTGGAGGTATCTGTCTTGGGTGGACGATAGAAGGATCCAATTAGTAGGGGTTTTTGACCTCGCATACTTATTTGGATCCATAGCAGTTCCGCTTCGGTGTCCAAAAACTCACATCTAGTGGGAAGCAAGGTGTCTTTAATCATTATGAAAACCCTCCTCCTCGGATGTTACGATCCTTTCTGATGATGGAGAAACCGGTAGGGGTAACTTCAGCGTCGGTGATTGAATCATCAAGGTGTGACTCAGTTCCGATAACTAGATCGGGCTTCTCTGATTCAATGAGGCTTTTGAGAAGAATATGTTTGTTTTTGAGGCCATTGCAGTTGACAATGATAAATTTGATTTTGTTTTGTGGCGGTTGTTTTGGTTGATTACGACAAGCTTTTTGTTGGTTTTTATGATGACCAAACTGGTGGGAAGGAGTTGATTTGGACGGAGTAGAGATTAAGTCTGGAAGACCAAGAGAATGTGTCATGTCTGTGTCATGTCTGTGTTGTCTAGTAAAACATCAAATGAGTCAGAGAGTGACAAGTTGAGAGAGTTGCTAAACAGAGATGAACTGAAAGATGGCATCCCAAAATTACAGGGGGGGGGGGGGGGGACGCTATGGACCTGGACAATACAATGTTTGCTGAGAAGTTCAGCAATGGCAAACTCAACAAATTTGGGGTGTTCTAACCTAGATCGGTTGTTCTTGGCAAAAAATAAAGGGAATCTTACAGCCTGACTCAATCACATCAATCACATAATTCACTAGCCTTCATACAATCCTTCCAATAATCTAAGCAGGTAATTAATCTACTTTGTACTTCTTGCGGAGGAGAAGGGTGGCCTTAGCAGTGTTCCTAGTCCCTAACTTCTAGTGGCTGTTGCTGGTCCATTACTGTCCTTGCTGACGCTGTCAAGTTTGGAGGGGGTGGGGCATGCTGATCGCACCTGGCCTTGTTGTATATATGCTGCACTGGAAGCGTATGCGGTTGTTGAAGGCTGCTGCGCTTCGGTAGGGACGAAAAAATGGTTGCTGTTGATAAGCCGCCAACGGCCTTGGTGAGAATGGCATGGTGATGGGTGTCTTGGTGCTGCCGGGACGCTTTTTTGGCATCGGTTTCTTGGCGGCAGTGGCTTTCTCTGCTTTCTTGATTCTCTTCTCGTCTGAGGAATCGGAGGCCAAGTCTTCGGCAACACATTCTTTCACGCCCCGACCTAGCTCTGACCAGTCTGCGATGCGGATCAGCTTCTGGTGTTCCTTTATCCCATGATGGCCGCCTTGAGATTGTTCTTGGCTTCTTCGATGTTGAGTGCGTCGACGTTCTGAAGTGCCGTCTCGAAGAGCGAAAGGTTTTTTTTCACAATGTGTGTACTGCTGCTGGTTTCCTTCCCTCTTTAGGTTTGGGGCGTCCAAGGAGTTGGTAAGGGCCTGAATGGCCCGCAAGATGTCTTGGTTTCTTACGCTGGGCTGCGATAGCAAGGAGCTGTCTTCTAGAACAAAGACCGCATGTGGCTTTTTATATATCGGAATAGTTACGTAACAAACTATTGTGTGATTGCACCTGGAATTCCACTTCTGTAGGTCATCCATCCAACTACATGTAAACAACCTTCGGCATCCAACATCACTGCTAGAGGGTGCTATACTCAATTTGTATCCAAAATTAAAGTTTTTAGATTTGCCAGTATGGCAGCTATATTCGATTCCCAACATGCATTGTAGTTGGTCAGGTGACCATGAATTTACTTTTAATGGGATACATGTGCATGTCGTCGGTCGCACCACCAAGTGACGTATCATATGCACAAAGCCCATAGATGATACGTCACTTCAGTCATGGTGCACCCAACAATGTAGTTGGTAGGTTCAGGCTATAAAAACATGGCTTTGACTCAAATATGCAATTTTGTTTTGTTTTAAATAAAATGACATTGTATGATTAACTAGTATTTTAAAATCGGTTTTCATTGTGCCAACGCATAACAGAAATGATATTTAGTATTATCTACAAATGTACATTAGGTACAATGTATCTCCTCCTGCTACAATGAACTTGATTTATCAAGGGCACTTACATGTAAACAGCTGATGGCAGCCATTTTGGAAAGTGGTGGCCATTTTTGTCAAAGAGCAAACCTTAGTTGTCCCTATGGCCCAAAATCCTAAAACATGTAAATAATCTAACAACATGCTATTAAATGGCATGCTTCTATAGCATCAAAGACACAGTTGTACCATATACCGGTATTTCACATGTATCTGCAGTACCACATAAAATAATTATTTTTTCAGCCACTGACTTTTATTTGTACAAAAGTATACATGTGCACTGTTCACTAAGTTCTATTATTCAACTGTTCTTTTCATTGTTTACAGTTCAGGAGATGGTGGACCAACCTTTTGACACCAAATCAGACAGCTTCTATTTCGTTGACAACAAGCTAATTATGCACAACAAGGCAGATTATGCATACAACGGGGGCATAGGGGCTATGTGATGATTCATAGATGCAGCTTGGATATCAATTGACCCGCCTTCAAGTAGGTGAAAGATTATTTCTGCAAAGGACTCAAACAGACTACACATGGTGTGGATCCTCTTCCCAAATTGATGAAATACGTGTAGATCAAACTATGGTCAGATTAAGACCCTTGCAGCTATTATTATCTGATTTAAACCATGGTGAATAGAACACTGAATCAGTCAACAGTTACAATGTACATCTAAGTATCATCTAGATGTTCAAGTAATTGCTGTCAGAATCACTGTTAGGTATCTGCAGACTGCAAGTCAACTATTTTTTCAAGTTACTGTATTGTTATCCAAGGAAATTAACTGCTTACTTACTTTGGTTTTTGAATGCGAGAAATGATTTGGAGTATTGTGTGCCAGCTCTATTGGGAATCTTTATAGTGGATCTATATCTCCCTTGTGTATTTTGTCAAAATGTGTTTTAGTTCATACCCTATCACAACCTTTTGTTCCCCAAAACTTCAGAAACCCCAAATCGATCAATGAATACTACCAGACAAGAAATTTTTTTTTTTTTACTTTTCTTCTTCTAAAGGTTGTGTATGCACATCGTAATGAATATAGATTAGCATCAAAAGTGACTTTCGTCAGCTGCTGATTGTGAGTCATGCTGTCCAGTTAGATTGTATGCACGTGTTTCATACAAATGACTACAGTAAACTCCGGCCAAGTCGACATCGTATAACCCGTCAAATCTGACGAAAGTCGTGATCGTCTCTAATGCAGTTCCATTGAAATTTTCCTTTCTAAGTCGGCCTTTGTAAGTTGCCATTTCGCTTTAGTTGGTGTGTTACTTTCGGTCCCATTTCCTCAAAATCACAAAATTCCTCCATGCAAGTCGGCATCCAAAAAAAAATACACAACCACCACGTGTGCGATCAAAAAGGGGTTTCCCCGATACTCAATACCACTACCTCCTCTAGTCCTGCATGCATAAGCACTGTCCGTTTTGGGGGTCTTGTTATTGAATGAACTTTAACAGTACTGGTGAACAATGCACACATTAATTCATAACTGTACATGTACAATGTATGCAAGCATTCTGCACCACACTGTTAATGTTGGCCGGCCATCCTTGCTTCGTACGGGCATGGCTTTCTGTGATCAATACCCAAGCCTGTATGTACATGTATGATAATCATTGAGGATAAATTTGCTGGAATCAACCATGGATGTAGAAATAAACCAGGGTATAAAGCCTGTGATCCCATAATGGTACATTTTTTGGAGTATTGATTCCGATACAGATGTGCATAGCCGACAAAATGACGACTTACAGCAGATGTTGGCATTCGCGTAAGTCATCACAAATTCTCGGGTCCCGAGAGTGCCGAGTTAGCCTGAGTTTACTGTATACACATGTACCCAAGTTACCGTACATTGCAGTCTGAGACTTTTTAGGTGTCATAAAATGGATACAATTTGCTGTCGTGTGGCAAGATACATGTATGTAAACTGCACCTTGAAAAATGACTTCAGTTCCTGATGTGCTTTGTAATATAGTACACAGTAATTGTAATACACTATGCTAGACTACGTATTGTATGTATACTTACATGTACATGTATGTAGAATTGGAAATTTTGCCCCCCCCCTCCCTTTTGCTTCATGTTTTTGACAATTTTTTTATTATTTGTTTTTAAGTAACTAAAATTCATTTTTAGTTCGTCTAACTTTCTCTTTTCTTTGTTGTTGAATTGCATCTTTGATTTACATACTGTACAATCTTGACACCAAATTTGAAGACCGTCCTAATAAAGTAATCCCCTTGTATCAGATCCCCTATTAACTTACATGTAATAGATTCTTTGAAGTAAGAAAGGGCCTAGTTGCTCATCTCTCTATTTTGTACCCACAATTCTCTTTGATCACGGATGAACCATGTCAACCCGAAGCACTGACTATTTGTTATCTATTTTTACCAGTATTCAAGTGAGATTCTTTAAGCTGACACTGCAGAGATTTGGAAACCTTTTCAAATGTTTAAACAGCAATATACTCTATCGGACTACATCTGTAAAAAAACTCAAGTCTACACCAAAGGGGTGAATATGATGATCTAATTCTGATACTCAGCCATCCTGAAAGGTCCATTTTGTTCATGTACATACGGTACAGAGTTAACAAATGAAGATTTAAACATGAATACATTTCCAATGTTTAGTTCATCTGTTGTGAAAATTGTATGATTTCCTTTTTGTAATATGTTATTAATCTCACTACTGTTATGTTTATATTTAGTATACACGTAGGTCATAATGCTTCAAGCATTGAAGTTTGGTCTCATCTGGCACGCCTAAAGAAACTCTGCTTAACTTAACCTACTGTACATGTATCAAGCATGGATCCATCCGTTTATGTTCCTTTCAGTGAGTTAAAACCAAATTTGTACATGTTCTACTAGATATGTGCCACAATTAATCTGACACGTTGTACAATGTTATACCCACAGGAAGCAGATATCAAAGCAAAGTAATGATTTTGAGTTGCACACATCATTAGAACATTTATGCACTTAGAAAAACCCACTGAACAGGCACCCATCTCTCTTTGCATTATTCTTAGTCTTCTATTGTAAGATTTCTATCAACTGTGTGTAAATGAGTACACGGGATGGTGTTTTGGGGACGCATGATATACACTTTTGATCACATTTGGTTGTATTCAAATGTTCATGATCTTCATGGCAAGCAACTCAAACAGTTGTCTTGGCTCAAGACTGGATTGGATTTGCCCGATACATCAGCGGGTTCCTGACAAGCACGGTGGAGGTCTTGCGGATTCAAGATGACACAATCCACTCTTGGGAACTTACTCAGGAAAATCCAACCACACTTGGCATGCGTGAATTAGCTTAAATGGCGTGTGAGGTATAGTTGCAAAGACTGGATTGGATTCATCTTGTTGATAGCACCTTCTACCACTGGGGCAACTTAACCTTGCTTGTCAGGGACCGGCTGTTCTACAGGGATCAATCCAATCAATCAGGGATCAATTCAATCAGGGATCAATCCAATCCAGTCTTGAAACAAGACTACAAACACAGCAGTAATACATAGAGTAGTGTGTAGTCCCACACTAGATACAGGATTTGTCACGGTGCAGTGCTTTGAAAATTTAAAGCTTCATCCAAGTTTAGCATTGATTGGTTATTACTCACTTGTATTCAGATTTGCGTCCAGGGGCTGGAGTTGGAAGGGTTGCCCAGGAATGGGAAAACTGACTCAGCAGCTTTTGTTTAGTTTAATATGAGTGCAATAGAGAGCAAGATAAATTGAAGTCTGCTGCCCATATTAGGTATGCATATTTATTGAATTGTAAATTGTATGGATACGTGTACAAGGATGATTACAATAAGATAATAGGGCAAACAAATGAATGTACTCAATCAATTTTTTAATGGAAAAGGACGTATGTATACATATTTTATTTCAAGAAGATTTTTGACTGCTTGGTAACTCAATGTCATTGGCTTGACAATGCTGCATCATAGATCTAGTACTCATTTACACACATTACTGTTACATTTGCAGACTCTATTAGAACACATCAACATGTACTTAAACAAAATAACATTAACCTATGTTGTGAAGTTGTTTAACAGCAAATATTCAGTGCATTTCAATACCATTAAAAGGTTAGACAAAGTACAAGAATAGTCCTTAAAATACATATTATTTCCTATCCTTCCTATCTACATGTAGTTATCTTTAAACAAATACATTGAATTTGCTTGTATATTTCGGTCTTTACTTTGTACAGATTTCTCTATCTGTCCTTTTAAATTGGTAGGTTTTGAAACTTTTTTTTAATGAAATGGCAAATAAAACAATTGGTTTGTATGTTTTGTGTGTGTAAGTTACAATGTGTACTGAGGTTTTTGACTTATGAGCAAGGAGAAACAACGGAATTAAACAAAGATTCATAAATACCTAAGACAGTTTAGGCATTCCCATTGGTCGAGAGCCCGTCACGTGGCCAGTCTTAAACGGATGATAAAGACATGGCTAGCTGGTCTTAAACACTTTTCCAGTGTCACATGAAATTTGGACTCCCATGAAATCCGGTGCCTTTTAACGTTTCATTGATTGAACGTTCAAATTCCCCATGTATGCATGTGCAATACTACCAGTGAATCATTATTTCATATTCATAAATACCTCAGACAGTTTAGCCATTCCTATTGGTCGAGAGCCCGTCACGTGGCCGGTCTTAAACGGATGATAAAGACATGGCTAGCTGGTCTTAAACACTTTTCCAGTGTCGCAATAAAATGTAGACCCCTAAAAATCCAGTGCCTCTTACCGTTTCATTGGTTGAACGTTCACAATCCTCACGTAGGCATGCGCAACACTACCAGCGAGTCAGAATTTTATAGTTCGAAATTCAAAACGCAACGCGCCAGGTGCGTTCTGCGCGACATCGCTCAGAACATGCCACGCGCGCGTCAATCTCCCCAAAAGGGCTGTTTACATCTTACTCGCCAGCTGAACACTCCATTATTTTGCTAGAGGGATGTTTCAAAAAGAATGAAGTGAACTTGTTGAACAAATCGGTATTTTTTGAACGAATTATTTGATATTTTTTACCAAAAAGGTATTTATGAATGGGAATAAATATGTGCTCAGTCGGTATTTATCACTCTGTTTAAGACCACTTAGAGTCTGGGTGCTGATAATTACCCTCGCCTCCGGCTCGGGTAATTATCAGCACCCAGACTCTAAGTGGTCTTAAACAGAGTGATAAAAACCTCCAGAGCACACATTTATTCCCTTAGTCCGATATTCACACTACACCAGCCTTTTGCGTTTTGCGCGACATCGCGCAGTACGCGCGACCATGGAGGTGGAATGCGCGACGCGCACGCAATTGTGGAGGGGCATTCCATATTATAGCCAGAGGGGTGTTTCGTAAAACATGAAGTAAAATTGTTGAACAAAATGGTTAAAAACGTCTAGTTGAGTGGTCTGGCACAACCCGACCACTGTCTAGAATTGTTCTCATAAATCTTCTTTGTTTGGTTCTTTTTTTTCCGGACAATACTTCTCCGCGGGTTTTCTCCTAAACGGTATATGGTATGAACTTGTAACTTTTAATATATATCGACCCTCATCCGAAGTGGTGCATATTACTCTGACGTCATGATTACGTCATCAGGTGTCAAATTACAAGTGATTTTATCTGAAAAATTGACTAATTACTTTCACCTATAACTCTTGGAACTCAATAATCAATGATGTTGGTATTCTGTAATCAGACAGACCATTAATTGCTAAACATTTTTTGTCGTGTACGTAAACTCGCTTGAAATGAACGTTAGCTTGAAATCAAAACAAAGCAAAATTTCTTCCGAACGGTTTACGGTATGATCACTACACCTTGTGTGAACTTGTACCATGTTACAAAGATGTAATAAATTATGTTACGTCATCATGACGTCATCAGATATCAAATTACAAGCGATTTAAGAGCAAATTTTGACAAAATAGTTTGTGTTATATCTTTGAACTAAATGGAGTATCGTGTTCGTTTTTTCGTGAGGTTGTAGACTATGCCGTGAGAAACATTTCGTGTTCCCAGACACAAAACCGCTTGACCTTTACTTCCGGTGTTACCGGAAGTACAATAAAAACTGAATATAACTCAAAAGCGGAAGCATTTTACTACAGACATATATACTACGAAAGTGTTTAGTCAGGAATGCCAGACACAAAAACAGTGTGATGACGTCATCATCCGAAAGGGCGCCTTCTAGTGGCACATAAAATAATGTTTCTTTTCTTTAATTTTAAACCATAGGTTCAAATTTTAGCAAATCGCCCCTTGATATTCTTTGATTAACCACAAATAACTTTGCAAGGTTTCAAATTCATGACGTTATCAGACCGGGAGTAACTTCTATGAGAATTTGCAAACAACCATATTTTAGATTTAATTTTAATCATTTGATCCATATCGTATATCCTCGTAGCTTTGATTAACCACAGATAATTTGGCAAGGTTTCAAATCCGTCATCAAACCAGATGTTACTTCTATGAGAATTTGTCAACGATCATATATTAAATTTGAAAAAAAGTAAGACTGCTGCAAACTGCTTACTGACTGGTTGGACCTGAAATATATAAATCTAAAAATTAATGTGGCCTGACGTTGCGAACTTAGCAAGTTCTTCTTCAGAGGCTAAAACAGAAATGACAGAGGTACATACATTAACATGGGGGTGCACACAAACATGCAGGGCTGAAAGAAGAAACACAACAGGAGGATTAGGTGGGAAAGATGCAGGGGAGGGTGGATGAGAGAACAAAGAAACAAAGGGAGATGGCAAACCACAAGGGGTCTGGTATATACAGGGGAGGGACCAGAAAGGGGAAGGAACAAAGGTCACAGGGAGTGGGAACGGACAAAAGAGTGTATGAGTGAAGGGGGATGATGCGGGGGGGGGGGGGGGGGGGGGGGACAGTATGGAGGTGGAAAGGGATGAAAGATGGGGGAAGATGGGTAAACACAAACAAGGAAGACCAGGTGGATTATCTGTAACAGAAGACAATGGAGGAAGAAAAGGATTAATCATTTCCAAGTTGGATGTTGAGACCATGTGGTTGAATAGTTCGAAGACGATTCATCCACACTTTCTCTCTGCTGAGGCGAACTGAGTCCTTGCGATGGCCAAGAGATTCAATGCCCTGCAAAATCATATCAGAAATGGAGTGGTTAGGCAGGTTGAAGTGATGACCAACAGGGGTGTCTAGTTTCTTGGTGTTGACCGTTGACCGGTGGGCATAGAAACGCTTCTTGAGCGTATTCTTAGTCTCACCTACATACTGCACTCAACAGACCCTGCAAGAAATGAGATATATGACATTAGAGGTGTTACAAGTGATGTTACCAATGGTTCTGTGGGTAGTAACAGAAGAGTGGCCAGAAAAGGAGTCGGACTCCTGGATATGAATCTGGCAGACAACACATCTGGAACTGCACTTGAAAGTACCATGCTGGGTGGGAGGGGATGCATCTAAGGATGGGACTTCAGCTCGAACAATCAAGTACCGTAGATTTCGAGGACGCCTGTAAGCCAATGTGGGGCCGTTGGGGATGGCGCGGGCAAGGCGATCTGAAGTATGGAGGATATGATGATTGTCATTAGTGATTTTGCGAAGGGGAGGGAGATTGGGGTGAAACGTGGTAACCAAGGGAATCATGGGTTTAGCCATGGCATCAGGGGCCTTTCCCGTGAGAGCTAGATTTCTGGGGATAGCTTTAGCTCTGGCAATGGCACGATGAACTTGGCTTGAGTATAACTCAAAAGCTTTTATACGTTATTTAACTTCACAACGAACATTTATCCACTCCGAACCAAATCAGTATTCACTTCCCGTTTTTGAATGACGTCATCAAGCCAGAAATAACTTGTATTGTGTACATAGAATGTTTACTAAAATTTATCACACCGTTAAAGATGCATTCATTTAAACAAAATAATTGATTGTACTGGAAAGGATTTAATTTTGTGATCCTTTGTTCTTACATCAACATATTCATAATTCAACTCGGCAGTGTTTAATGAACAAATATTGCCTGCCCGACCACTCTGCGTTTGTAACAACAAACGCGAACCTCTAGTTTTTGACTTGTTTTTGATTTTTGGACCGAAAAGATTTGGTTTTTTGGACCAAAAAGGTATATATGAATGGGAATAAATATGTGTTCCGTCGGTATTAAACACTCTGTTTAAAACCGGTGTGAGTCTGGATGGGTGATAATTACCCATCCAGACTCACACCGGTTTTAAACAGAGTGTTATAATACCTCCAAAAACACACATTTATTCCCTTAATTAAATACCATACAATTGAGTACATGGTACTGGCATCCAGCTACATGATACACATAAAAAAAATCAGAAATGCATCTTAGAAATAAGTGCTTAACATGGCCTGGCCATGACTGTTCGAATACAGATTACAGATTTGAAGTTAGGGTCCATAGTGTGACATTTTTTCCTGCCTTTGTTACCTTGATACTTTGTAATTGGCATTAAAGTACATTCAGAATATTACTTCAGACATTTTTCTTTTGGCGTAGGTAATTAACCATTCATAATCACTCGATAAGGACGACTGCATTGGGGTATTCAGAATTTTAAAACAAATCATAGATGTCAGATGTACCAGGGATAGGAAAAAAGTGGACCCCAAATTCATCAAATGACCTACATGTACATGCAGACACAAAGATAGAGCTCCCTTTGTTTGTTTGGACCCGATGGCATTGGGTTTTAAATGCTCTCTGACCATGGATGTGAAATCAGCCAAAGAGATGAAATCATTTTGTTTATAAATAACATCCCTGCAAATTGTGAGTACAAAACCTGCGCGTCATGTATGTTTCCAGTATATTTTAAGCAACACATTTGTCATATGGAAAGACGTGTATTGCGTCAAAGTGCTGTCAACATATTAAAGGTATGTGTTTTAATATGTGTTCTTCCTCAGTCTCAGAGTAACATTAAAGTCAGTTATAAAGTCAACCGTACACTCAATAAATATTGTATCATTTTTATAAATTCACTTTCCCATTTTTTTTCTACGAAGGCCTCTGGGTAGTTATGGACATTATTGAAAATAAGTTGGTTGCCATTAAATGCCGGTTTGTGATAAGTTTCTGAAATCACCCTTTTTAGAAAATGAAAGAAAATTTCTCAGAAAACTTGGTCATAACAGAGTTGACAGCACAGACTCTGTACTGATGACGTCCCACTTTGTTTACGTGTGTTTCCTCAGTGGGCCGTGGGCCCCCACTGGCTCCATAGGAATGTGCACATGTAAACAAAGTGTGATGTCATTAGTACAAAGGCTTATTATTTGGGGTTTTAGCAAGGCAGAGGTGAAACCGAATGTGACAATCGTATGAGAGATATTACCGTAGATGTATCCTGTTCACAGATACTGCAACGGCCTAAAATTCACTTAAAAAAACATATTAAATACAAATTGTAACTGTGACAAAGTGGTTCAGCAAATTAACTTGTCTTTCACAACACCCTTTCCTATTGATTCTGCAGTTTAAAGGGGCACTTTCATCTGTAAAGCAGATGTATTGAGCTTTAAAAAATGCTTCCCATGAAATAATAATACTTGCAAAGTTTATTAACAAGTAGAATATAAAAGTGCACTCCAATCTACCGGTACGTTGTACCTTGAAACGGTTGCCTTTTTGTGTTATTATAGTCCAAATGATTAAAGGAGTACAAAATAATAGCCCTAAAAATTCCAGCCATCAGAGTGTTCGTCTTGTTTCCAGTCACACATTTTTCTTTTCCAAATTAATAAATCAAACATATGCTAGCTTTTCTGAGATTGTTCAAGTGTGCCACATATCGTTGTGAGAGCTGATTTTTCAAAGTGAATGTCCATTTACTAGATATATTTATGACATTGAGGCAGTAGTCTGATTTGGACAGCTTTGGCCCATAAATACACATGCAGGTAGTATTTATGCACGGCAAAAAAGGGAACACATCAGATGTAAGCACACAAGGTCTTTTCAACATTTTCTCTGAAAATCTGGATTCCTGAGCTTCAGATATTTAATATGAAGTTAATAAACGCAGATGCCAAGATCACACAAATGCATGGCATGTGACAGTGCAAGCTGCAAAAGACAAAATTAAATTTAAAAAAAGGGTGGCGTCTGAGAATTGGGCACAAAATCAGCCGAGATAACATGGTGCACTTGATGAAATCTCAGAAAATCCCAAGTAAGCATTTAAGGTTTCTTTGCGGTTGACAAATTCTGATAAATCACATCAATACAAGGGCATCAATTGTTCGCTTCTCAAATGTGTTGGGGGGAACATACCTGAATCACAACTAATGCGAGCGAGAAGCCCTAACGGCGTGGGGTTTGGTGCCCGCATAAGGGCTGTGAAAAAAAGGTGGATTCTGGATGCTCTGTGGTGTGATCTGAGGCAATTTTTGACCACTTTAATCAATTTTTGTTGGCATAAGATCATCATTTAAACATCACTTTCAAGTTTGAGTCATTAGATCAGCTATTCTGAGCTACAGAATGAAAAGTAAGCTACAATTTTTATTGGGGATGAACCAATAAGGAACAAACGATAAACATGTATCAGTGTTGTAGATACTAGTGCAGTGCCCGTCTAAAATGTGCATGTTCGGGAAACGCAAATTGCTTTGCCGCTGATATAGGTTGCATACTTGCAGAGTTTTGGAGAACTGCTCGTGCAAACAATGCACGCGATTCAATGGTGTTGTTTTCACAGGTTGAACGCACACTTACGTCGAAGTTTGTGCTAGTTTGAAGTTCGACCACCTACAATGGTTGCTCAGTCGACTGCAAAAATAATGTGCCCGTGTACATACCAAAACATGGTATGCAGTGCTATTCACCCATACTGGACAATGTATCGCCCTACAATGCACGTGCGCGTGCCCGTCCTTTTTGCATTGTTTGCGTCATATTGAGCAAGCGCGCTTTAGCTTAAACATGACGTAAACAATTGAAAAGAACGGCAGTGCGTGGTGTTATGTTCTAAGCTGCCACGTTTGCGTCCGAAAATTCTGCTTTTTTGCAGCTTTTTCGAGAACCGCTCGTCCAAACCACTACAAACTTGGCACTGCACATTCTGTGGCCCCGAGAAATACACCCGCCGATTTTCAATTTCATACGGTGCCCGGTTCTGGAGATAATCGACGGACAGACAGACAGACAGAGATTCCTGGAATTATAGTAAGATATAGAACTATATTAAATGACTAGAGCCCTAACTCACGCACAAAGTGATGCCTGCTGGGCGCATCCATGTTTGTACACAAACCTATGGAGAACTGGAAATTGTGTACGTATTTTGTGCATCTATTTGCATATCTGTGTTTGTATTCCATACCGGTGCGTCATCGAAGCCTATACGCCCAAAACCGAAACGCACGATCAGCAAATGAGTGTGTCATTTTTAGGCATGCAAGTTTTCCTCAGATCTGCTGATTTCCTCGTTTTTCACTTCTAATGAATGTCATTACAAATTGCAAAATGCTGTACAAAGTCAGGTGTGGTTTGGAGTTTCCTCTTTTTCCTAAATTCCCAGTTGCATGCCTGCATTTTGTTCTACGCAAACAGTGCAAAGTTGTTGTTTTTTTTTTTTTACTGTAACACGCGTAAGAAGTTTGCATACGTTCTACGTGTTGCATTTAGAGTACACTTTCAATATTCAATCCATCTAATTTCATCAACTACAAACACGCCCATGGATTCAAAATGTCTGCGCCCAGGACGGCTTCAAAGCGTCTCCACGCGCAAGAATGAGGAGTTAGTGCTCTAGTAATTTAATATAGCTCTATGGTTGTACCGGTACTTGTAGTCTGGATCTGAAAGCTAGAGACTGAGCTAGAGACTGAGACCTGAAGACCCACACCAAGACCTAGAATTAGAAAAGTGGGAGGGGATGACCTCAGGGTCCAAAGTCGAGACCGAGACCTTATGGGCAAGACCGAGACCTTAGACTAGTTAATGAGAAAGATAGGCCTATGCATTACAAAAACATGGTGTAAACAGTGTTTTTCTGAATGCTGAGTTAATTCAAATGTTGTCACAGTGTTCCCACCTTAAATTTTAGATTTCAACCATTTGTAAGACTGTTTGAAAAGAAAACTAGCAGATTTTGTTTCACATAATTTACATTTCTCAAAATTTATTTTGTATTTTTATTTTAGGCCTATTAAAGTTAGGCTGTTTCCACAGGCATTACAAATTGAAAATTAAATAGCCATGAAAATAAACATTATCTGAACAATGATTATCTGAACAATTCATGCTTGGCATTTTCATACTTTGGTAAAGTTGGTATCCATTATCAAAACAAAAGAATGTTGGCCTCCTAGTCCCTAGTCCTACTCCGTCGTGTCCACATTCGTGCAGCAGGATGCGACATGTCAACGCGACATGTCATTGGCCTAGCCGAAGCGACTTAGATTTTACTAATGAAGTCGGCTGAGGTGCCTCGTAAATTACGTTAAAAGCCGAACTTGTGCCAGCCTGTGTGAGCTTAATCTTGCAATATCTGCAGATCGCAGAGTGCTTCATATTGTTTGCCTTCCAGTTGGGAAATTCAGTGTGGTCTTTGAAACCAAAGTGTCACTGCAGAGTGTGCCGACATGGTTGCACCGCTCTTGATCAACTCGATGCAGTAGTACGTACGCACGCATCTAGCGCATGCGGTACAGAGCAGTGTACCGAAGTAATGCAAGGGAGTTTGCATTACTAGAAATGCAGTAACATGTGGGTACCAGACTATTTGATTTTATTCCTCGAAATCGATACCACTGTCTATCAAAACTTTTGAAAGTAAGTTGGATATGTCAGATCACATAAATTTCTTTTTTGTGTGTGTGGTGGTTTTCCCCCAACTGAACAATAAGGTCTCGTATACTCGAGACCCCACAAGATCTTGAGACTTTGCTCCGAGATCGAGGCAAAGACCGAGTTCTTTGAGTCGAGACCTTGAAATTGTCGAGACCTATTTTCGTAGGTCTCGAGACTGGTCTCGATACCGAGACCTGCCTCGAGACCTACATTGTACATCACTGACATGTATCACCCTACTTTAAAAAGGGGGGAGGGGATGTCAATGGCTTGACTCAAGTCACAATTTTTGGTGACTTGACTTGAGAGCTAACGGGTAACTGACTCAAATCAACTCGAGTCACTGTGAGCACATAACTCATAACTCATCAGAAGAAGACTTGACTTGACTCGATTCGTCCGAAAATTGCACAAAAATATAATTGCACTGACTTAGGGTACAGAGTTATTAATGTTTGCACTCGTACTTTGCTGCATCATTGACCTCACTTGATAATGTAGTGCACAAACTACTTATACAGACTTTAAACGCATTTCCACATGCTTGGTTTCAAACTGCAGTTTTTCATTCTGTAAGTGTGTATATCCAGAAATCTTTTTTGACGTTGGCATCAACACTAAGCAAAATACAGTATGTCCCCAAAAAAGTATGTCTCCCGATTATGTTCTACAAAACCATGAAGTCAATTTTCAACATGTTTGATTGGCAGATAATGGCCTAAACCCCTATGAGTTGCATTTGATTTCCATCACGCCTCACTGCACAATGGTCAACTGATCACAACAACATATTTAGACACTGTGTGACCAAGTTCCTTGCCTTTACCTATTTCAAAGCTGTGTTAAATGTATTAGTTGTTTAAAATCTTGCATATTGAAAAAAATAGGCTGATGTGGTATGGGATTGGAATCATTTGCCTTTGCCATGATGACTTGATAGCCAGGCAAATGATTCCAATCCCAACCGAGCCCTTTATAAAGTTTATAAATAATACATCAAAGACAAATGGGACATTTGCCTGTATGGTGATGGTCACCGGAGTAGTCAGTATCTAGATCCAGTTCACTTAAAAACTCGCATAACAGCCCATAAAAAACACGTATTGCTAACTTAATTCAAAATATAACGGGAGTAACTTGGTGAAAATTGCCAGATAACTGTCATGTCCTCCAGAAATCAGCTTGCAGTGTTCCCTTAGGAGGTGCTATCCTCTGCGTCTTGGTGACCATCTGTCAATAAAATAAAAAGAAATTACATGTTAGCCAAGTATCTGTGGAAAAAATCCCAGCCAGTACAGACGTACCTGTGGGGCAGACTCTGCCACTACCGGCTGGTTCTGTGGGTACCAGCGGACAGGGAAACTAGTCCACTGAAGGCAAGGAGCATGTGCCAGGTGCAGGTTACACCACACAAACCAGAGCGATGGTACACACATGTAGGTAGTGTGACGGTAGGTAGTGTGATGGTAGGTAGTGTGATGGTAGGTAGTGTGATGGTACATGTAGGTAGTAGGTAGTGTGACGGTAGGTAGTGTGACGGTAGGTAGTGTGACGGTAGGTAGTGTGACGGTAGGTAGTGTGACGGTAGGTAGTGTGATGGTAGGTAGTGTGACGGTAGGTAGTGTGACGGTAGGTAGTGTGACGGTAGGTAGTGTGAAGGTAGGTAGTGTGACGGTAGGTAGTGTGACGGTAGGTAGTGTGACGGTAGGTAGTGTGACGGTAGGTAGTGTGATGGTAGGTAGTGTGACAGTAGGTAGTGTGATGGTAGGTAGTGTGATGGTAGGTAGTGTGATGGTACCATCACACTACCTGATGGTAGTTTTGTTGTTGGTTTGTTTTAATGACTTTAAGTGCCCCAGGGTAAACTGACACAAAAGTGCCCCCACATATTGCCTTTGACTTACATTTAATCAGAAACCAAAAACACACATTTATTTATTATTAATTTTTGAGTAATTGTTTTCATATATTTATTTATTTCCAGGATAAGTCAAAGTGTAAATTGGTCTATATAGTTTTGACAGATTGATGTTTCTTTTTACGACTTCAAATACTGCAAAGTGAAAGAAGATGAGCTGTAAATTCAATTGTGTACATGTATAATATTCTTGTGTGAATGGAACTGAACTTGTCCGTTGTAATTATTCAGTTGTTTGCAATCTAATTTGTTTAGCTTTCCTGTTGCAGTGCCAAAGTAATGAGGTAAGCTGTGACAGGAGTTGGCCTGACAGCCTTGCAACAATACTTGTGTACAAGGGGGGAGATTGAAATGGCAATCAACAAGATGAGCAGCCAATTCACTTTGATTGCAGGTGGCCGTCACAGGCGAGTTGGTCAAGTTCTTCATCTTCCATGCCCGGGAGGTAAGAAATAGTTTTGTCTCTTCAGCCAAAAATGATCTTGAATCCGAGCTATGCCGTAGAGGTGGAAACCGAAGCTGGCCATTAAGTCTAATACTGGAGAAGCGCTCAGAGTAACTGCAGGTTGTGGCCAGAGTTTAGTCCAGTGACTGGCCATAGACTGGGGCTAGGCCTAGGCCTAAACAGTGAATGTGACACTGTGGATGGTTGTTACTATTATAGAACCAATGAAAAGTAACCTCAGGGTACATAGCTGATGCTGTGGCATTCTTTAGTTTATTTCTTGCCCAATTTTCTGGATTCCTTTTTGTCTTTTTACCCAATTTTTCTCCATTTATTTTATAACACTCATCTAAGACTGCTTAGCATTCACATCTGCCATGATAACAGCAAGTCACGTGATATTCTGATTGGCCAATCATGGAGTTCGGTACTTCTTGTTCAAAATGTATGGATTTGAGTTCTTGTGCTAAATATCAAATCTTACAATTTTAACAATGGACAGGTATCTAGACAGAATTGGCGAGGTGGGACAAGCACCTGTTTGTTTTATTTCCAGGGACATAGCAGGATAGGGGGAATCCACACGAGTCTATGCCGTGTCGGCCAAGCAGAGGTGGCACTTGTCATGGTAGGTTTGCCAATGGCTAGATCTCTCTAGGAAATATTGCATACATGTACATTAATAATGCTCCCTGAGTAAGATGAGAAGAGTAGAATTGCTAACTTTTAAAATCATCATATAACAAGAATAAACATCAACAGGTAAAAATTAATAATGGTTTAAACAAAAATGGGCCAAACAGGCATATATACTCGCTGACAACTCATGTGAAGAATTCAAGTATTTCTCTTTACCAAAGGCCTAAGCAGTTAAAAACCAACAAAAGCTGTTTCGGCAAGCTTTTGTTTTTGTTAAGATTTGTGCATGTATTTTTGTTACCGGCACTTTGGCCAGTAAAATCAATCAGATTGCCTTTATACCTGGCACTCACTTAGACCACCACCCACAGATGTGTGCCAAACATTGACGTCATCATGACGTCATCGGGTGTCACGTGACGTCACATTAAATGTGCATAGTTTGAAGGCCTATATCTCCAGAACTACAGGTCTATTTGGGTTCAAAGTTGGTATGTACCTAGACCGGGATGTGTTATAGATGAAAATTGAAGTGACGTCATGACGACATCACTTGACATGTGATATCATATTAAAAGTGCATATTTTGAAGGCCTATATTTCCAGAACTACAGGTCTGATGGGGTTCAAAGTTGGTATGTACCTAGACCGGAATGTGATATAGATGAAAATTGAAGTGACGTCACGATGACATCATAGATTGGTTACGTGACGTCACGTTAAAGATTAGATTTAATCTTTGAAAATCAATATAAAATCAAACGTGACACACCTGAACTTGACGTTTGCAAGAATTGATAGAATAATCGAGGGTCTTCATTTTTGATATTATGTGCAAAATCACGTGACCCTTCCCTCGGGTTGAAACCGGAAGAGCCTTGTAATTTGAAATTGGTAAAAGATGTGAACTTGCTTACATTGATGTATGTTCTGGCTAAGTTCTTCTTTACAAAAAAATAATGCTGACGTCATAAAATGTTAGAGCGCCCTCTAGCGGCAGGTTGTTATACATGATTTCATATGAAAATTGATGTGACGTCATCATGACGTTATCATGTCACATGTGACGTCATAATTCAAAGCCCTATGAGAATGTAATCAGATATTTATATGCCACCATTTATTATAAACAGAACACATTATACACATCCTTCCTGGATACTTATACTTGAAACTTTACAAGTCACATATATGGCACACAGAAGTTACCGAAACAGCCCTGTGTTTGTCCACAAACATAAGTCAAGTTCAGTTTCGAAATTAGTAAAATGAAACTTTCTTTTTCGATTGAGGACAGAACCCATGAAAATACATACAGTCTGAAATGTGAATATTATAAGTGCATCTTGTATTTCTCTTAGATTCTGACTCATCTGCCAAAGATAATGACTTGAGTCTATCAATCAATCATTAGATGATGTTGATTTCACATTGGTACAGGTCGGGTAACTATATATCAACTGGTTTGTATGTGAATGAACTTGAACAATGTGAAGTGGCTTCATCTGAAAGGGTGATTTAACAGCCCTCCATTGATAACTAATTTGCATTTTTGCAGTCACCGATGACCAAACATCATTGATCTAAAAACAAATGCTACCTCCACCCCACTTCCAAGTTGGTCTGATGCAGTGGTGAATTGAGCTAGGAAGTGCGACTGCAGTGGATTATGTATACACCGAGGAGCTAGTAATGGTGAAGATGTTGGTTCATAAAATGACATCTCATGTTGCACAACTTAATAAACCCTAACCCTAACTCCCAAGGCCTTTTTGCTAGGATGTAGCCTCAATCCAGCAAAATCCTCCAATTGGCCTCATGAAAAAATAGCATATAACCTCAATCTTGCAAATTCCTCCATTATTTCTTGAATATTGTCCGTGGAGGGGTGACCACTGCCTGAATCCTGCAAAATCCTGCGGCAGTAACTGTCAGTATGTTGAGGCTAGGCCAGTGACATCCTGGAGCAGTACAGAGGATTTCAAACATAATCCTGGCCTACCGGTATATTTATGCATGGCTGAGCAAAAACAACACAAGGTCCAGCCCAAGACCTTGACAAAATGCATCCTACGAAATCAGTAACGCACTTCTGCCATGTAACCTCAATCCTCCAAATTCCTCGACTTTGGCAAAGAGGATTTTTGAAGGAATCATGGCGGTTAGGGTTAATCATTTCAAAAGTGATTTACTAATAGGAAATTATTAGCCCATGCCAAAATACACTCATAACATAGCTTTGACATCATCCTAACTAGACAAGGTTTTGGGCTATGCCCATTGCAAGCTAGGGTTTGAAAGCATTCGACTTAGTGACAACAACTAAAAACACAGAAAAGCTCTGTGTTCTGTTCAAAACCAGACACACAGTTCTAGTTTTTCTTTGTCCTTAAATAGTACCTTACCTCAAGGAATGTCTTGAGTCTCATGACAGGTCCCCCAGATCCTTTTGGTGTCACACTCTCGATTCTATGGGAAAATGTACAAGCCATCTCATGACTAATGAATTGTTAAACCCACTGAGAACTATGGTAAATCATATTTGCTTTTGATAAAATTAAAGCACTAGAATGGTATACAAATACTGAGTGGCTCAGAGTACTGGGAGGAATGTTATCACAAGGTAAAGTCTGGAAAAAATGCAAAAGTCCAGATTTTACCAAGCAATAATATTCCTCCCATTTCACAATTTAAATCCACTCAACATTTGTTTTATGTAACTGACAGATCCTTGTCATTTGATTTGCAGTTAAAATGAACTTCTATTTCGGTGCAAAATAGGTGGGAAATGTATTTATGTCTTCCAAACCACCCCTTCACGAAATGTTTGAACCCAACTCTGTAGCTACTGCCTCTTGGGAACAATAGGCGCTACGCACAATGTGCACACAAGCATGCACCATAGATATAGAATAAAAAGTCTATGGTATGCACACAAAATACCCCGCCATGGGTGGAACAAGGATGAACTTAACTGTTGAATAGTAAATCCCATTCACCATGGGCGAATGGGACTTTTTGAGCCCCAGTGTGGATGGGAGCAATAACGAATGTCACGTGATGTGAGTTCCACCAATCAAATGACAAGGATCTGTATGTCAAATTGTATTTGAACACTTGAGCATGGTGCCTTTATACCTATTGTCCTTACGAAGATGTTATCCCTTGAAGTACAAATGAAATGTTGTTAAATTGAGAATTCCACTTCACACACTCGTGTATGGTCGGTAGAAAATATATGTTTGCGAGGTGCAATTTGTAGCGATATACGCACAAACTTTCCCTGCGCCCTGTTCACGTGTACGCAGGCAGCTCAAATCCGTTACATTTTGACGCTTGTGACTTGCGTTCGAACACCAAGGAATGGCGAAAATGCGAAGTCCTTCAGAAAAACAGAGGATTTGGTGCCCCCTTCTTCTTTGTCTCGAGAACAAGAAATCTAAGGATCTACCATAACAACCTTGTCTGACATGTCAGGCCATGTAGGGGAGAAATCTGACACACACATGGCCGACATTTACGACATGCACCACATGGCCGTCGTTCACGTCATGCACGTGCTGTATGCACCAGTGCTGTAACCACTAGTGTACCCAGTGATTTTGACAAGCTTGTCGCCTTGCAGTAGTTATGACAATTTAAATTGCATTTATATAACCCTATATCTAGATAACTACACCTCCCATTTGGTTAATGTTTGGCATATAAACAGATGAAGAATATTTTTCATTTTCTAAAAACTAAGTTGCATTTGTTGATGTTAGAGTTTTATTTCAATTTGTAAAGTTTCAAAGCCTGTGCCCCTTAGGTATGACGTTCTGACATGTATTCATGTGTACATGATGCGCACGTGGCGATCTACAATGTACATGTACACGTACACATGAAAGTTTTTTATGGGGTGCAAGTCAACTTGGTCCCAAGTCAACTCCGTCTCAAGTCAACTCGGTCCAATTCAAATCCGTCTCAAGTCAACTACGTCCCAGGTCAACTCGGTCCCTAGGGACTTGAACCCACGACCTGCAGAATAACCCGCAGACCACAAATTTAATGCTCCAGACCATGAGGCCACAGCACTCCACTTATTATTGATGTATTCCTAAAGTGGCGCGGCCCCTAACACTGCGCAATTTGATTTTCGCCCCAAGTGCCTTGCTAGAGCTTTTTTTAAACTGGGACCAAGTTGATTTGGGCCAAGTTCATCCCTACTGAGTTCACCCGGACTGAGTTGACTCGAAACCTTTCTATGCACACAAATTTTCCCTGCTGTGCCCTGAACATACATATGTGTGTTTTGAAAGTTATATGTAAGTGGTCATCTAGTCTACGCGTGAAAGTTTCAAATGCGCTTGAAATGATCTGCCTGCGTTAGCGTAAATGTCGCACGTACAATAGGGTCAGGTCACGGGTGAGTTAAAGGTAGAGTACATCATATGTAATTTGTGCATTATGTTCGTTTGAAGCAACAAAAGTGCTCAACAGGGTAACAGAGAATGTCACATTGAAACTTCGATGTAGGTTTTTTAGGTCATAAATATACTTAATTACTTAGACTTACTTATACTTAGATATACAAATGCGTGACATCATGATGACATCACCAAAAATTGGATTGTTTTAAACACACAAAAGGGAAGGTCCAATCGTCATTTAAGAGTCTTTAAGCATCACAGAAATAGTTCTTTTACTCGGGGGCAAGTTAGATAATATGAGTATTATGATGCAAAACCCGAAGTGAAGTCAATGTTGATTTTGTATGATATTTATTTTCAATATAAACATCATTTTTTTCTACTCTCAAAATTTAACACTGTCTTTGTACAGCTCAAAATCGACTAAGTTCAAAATCGACTCAAAACATGACATAGACCATATTGTAAATATGTGCATTGACAAGTAATGGGTCATGTGATGTCATCATAAATGTGCATTTTAAAATGTTCCTGTATCTAGAGAAATTGGAGAAGTCCGATTGCATTGCAACTTTGTATGTACATAGACAGGAATGTGTTATAGACCAAATTGGCATCACATCTAGATGACGTCATTGTTTTAATTTATATAAAATGTTTAAGGTCTTATAGATTATCGCCATATCTCATGAACACAACATGTTCAATTCTAAATTCCCTTTGAAACAGGTTGATTAGCTCATGGGTATTTGCACAAAAATGTTAAAAATTTGTGATGTCATGATAGAGTCATAAAACATTGCGAATTTCAAAACACATACAAGGGTTGGTCCGATCGTCATGACACTTGGTGGTATGTAGATATAGTTAGAAGTATGCAAAATTCGAAATGAGGTCAAGATAACGTCATCAACTGACTTTTAGATTTTTTGGCTACTAGCAAAATTTGACATAAAATGCACTTTGAACTTTGTTCGTAAGTTAAATTGATCATTCACATGACTGCACATCGATCAACAAAAATCATAAACTCATGAAAAATTCATAATACGGAAAAGCCATATGTTCTGTTCTTAAAAGGCAGAGTGCATTGCGTAGCTGCAATTGGCTGAACGAGAACGTGTCCCGGATGCTGATTAAAGGCAGAGTGATTTTGAAAGGCATTTGCAGCTATCCAAAAGGAACTGACAAAATAATTGATGAAAAGCTTACATGGTTTAAAGTTAATAATGGCACTAAACTCCCTGTGAAATTACTCTTTCTGGCATGCTGTCATTTTGAAGAAAACAATGAAAGAAGACCATTTCCAATGATGCATCACATGATGCATTGATCATTTGAAATTTCTGTTAGTAGTTGTGTTTTTTATTTTGGCGCATCCATGAATGGGTGCACGCAGGCATTGACAAGACGCACACACACACACACACGCCCGCTATTATTTGTCAGTTCAGCACGTGACATTGCGTAGCTGCAATTGGCTGAACGAGAACGTGTCCCGGATGCTGATTGAAGTGGAAACAAGAACACAGAATATTGTGTTTCTCGGAATATTCAGGGCTTAAACTTCATCAGGTTAGTTGTTCAGAACCGACTACATGTTTTGAGCACTTGTTGCTTCAAACCCAGTGGCGTATCCAGAGGGGGGTGGGGGGGGGGCAAGGCATTTTTTTTTATTTCAATAAATGGTTAGAAAGTTATGACATCAATCCTTAAAATGAAAACCCGCTGAAAAACCATTACAATGCGCTGTGAAAATGGGCATATAATTTGCAGTATGCATACTAATGGTCAGTTTTGAAGAGCGCCCCCATTTGGAAGATGCCCCCCTCACATCAAAAGCTGGATACGCTACTGTTCAAACCAAAAATATGCACAAATGACAAATGATGAAGCCTACCTTTAAACAGACATAGATCTAGTTTCCTTTTCTTTTTCAGACTCTTCTCCATAGACTTTCACACGTTTTTCCCCCAATCATACACCTTGGCACGTTCGTATGTCTTATTAACTTTAGAGTTGGCAGATACTTAGACCACCACCCGAAGTTGGTCCCGTGACATTATCATGCAATTAAAGATACATTCTTCGAAGCTGTATTATCTTCTGAATTACAAGTCTGATTGGGTTGAAACTTGGTACATGTATGTACACATGTACATACACAGAGATGTGTTACAGGTGAAAATTGAAGGGACTTCATGATGACGGCATCACGTTGCTAAACCAGGATGTGTTATTGGTGCAAAATGTGGCAGAGTCATTTCAAACGATCAAAACAGCTGGTGTTTGTCCACATACACATTTCTAGTTTAACTATTGGGTGGTCTGTTTGTGTCTGCCTCCCTGCCCAAGCACCCTGTTCCACTCTTTTTAGTACTTGATACCTATCAAGTCTTTGTCAGTTATAAACTTACTTTGGGAAGTAGTTCCTGTAAAGTACTTGTAGGAGCTTGAAGAACTGTCTGTGATATGATGCAGCTAAATCATGACCACACACCTGTTAATGAAAACATATAGACAAAATAGTCAGTTTGCTTCCTCACACATATGTATGATGATATATATATCAAGATTTATAATAACAAAGTTATGTTGATTAGCCCTTTTAGATGATTGACCAGCCTTTTATCTAATTCTCAGATCGAATCCAAACTTGACACAGAACAAGATCACATTGTAAATGTGCGCACTGACAAGTGTCGTCATCATGACATCATGGGCCATGTGAGGCCATCACAAATGTGCATTTTTCTATGCCCTGTAGAGCACTTAAAGTTTGATAGCGTGAAACTTTGTATGTTTGTATTAGATAGGGATAAGTTATAGATGAAAATGGAAGTGACGTCATGGTGACGTCATTACATGATTTGATATAGATTTCTGAAATGTTGAAGATTATCACCATTTCTCACAAATACAACATGCTAAATTCAAAATTATTTTTGTAATAGGTTTGTTAGATCATAAATATTTGCACATAAGTGTGAAAAAATGTGTAATATCATCAAAAATGCGATTTTGAAAAGTCATCAACTAATTGTTTATAAATGTTTACACTTTTATATTTTTGGGCTACTAGCAAGTTTAACATTAAATGCACTTTTTACTTGAAATTATCATTTACATGACTGCACATCGACAAAAAAGAATTCCTACAAAAAAGTGGAAAAGCCCTTTGTTTTGTTTTCAAACAGACATAGACCTCTAGTTTTAGTTGTGTTTATGAATATGTTTTTTTGTTTAAGTAGTTTGTTTTTCATAAGTCTACCCCTGGGTTTTGTTAGTGTTTGGTTGTTGTACTATTTTGCAATATCTGATCACTTACCTCTAAGAAGTCAAAGAGCATTGTTGCAGTGATATCTGGTTGTGGTTCAACATTGAGTAATCTGGCTAGCCATTTCCATGCATGATCTATTCCATAGGGATGGACCTGTAGATCATAAAAATTTTCATTTTGTTTTACAATTTTCTTCAAATAAATGAACTGTGTTGTGCTATACTATCACAAAAATATAACATGTACCTAAGTCTCAATGTGTGCATGTTGTCTTTATTTTGTTTATTGCAATGTAATTTTCACAAGTGGATATCAATTAACAAAATAATATAGCCATATTTGGTGACATGTAGATGACTTGTGTTATACATCAAGCAGCTCACCGAGGTTTTGGCTGTGGTGGCAGCCATGACATACCAGTCAAGGTAAGCTGTAGATCCTGCATATGAGAGGCAACACCCTCGCATCTTCAGGGATTACATGTTGCTATACGCCATGCAAGTAACATAGGATTTTCCATCGCTTCATAAACAACACAGAGCCTGAATGCCTGAATTTGATATTCATTTTGTTTCCAATAACATACATGTATATTCTTTTTGTTTGTGGGGTTTCATACAGAATAGGCAGTGCTAAAGTTTTTTTGGGGTTGGGAGTCCAAAACAGGGTCAGTCGGAAATGAGAACCAAAAAATAAGAATGGGATGCGTTATACATGTAATAGTCCTCTCCCTCTTGCAGACTATGGGGGCATTGCATGCAGATTGGTATAAAGTCTTGAAACTTGGCACAGATGGTCATTGATGCTTGGCAACATAAACCACACCTACATGTAGGGGCACTTCATCCCAACTCACTATAATGTAATCGAAGTTACAGATGTAGAATGGGGATCGACAGATCTCTCCTCACACAATTTGGTGAAGTGGAGAAGTCTACTATCACAAGTCCTTCTGGTGGATCTATGTCTACTTTTGGCTGCTAGGTACATGTATGTAGCTTCCTCTGAAAGGTCAGCTGCTCAGAGGGAAATTTTGACAGCATCCAGGCACAAAGATAGAGAGTGGCCAGATCCGTGTGTAGAATGTGAGACCTTGGTTGTGATAGGTCTGGCCAGTTGGGGAGCATGAGTGGCGAGTGAACAAGAAGATCCAGAAGATGTGGGAACCATGGCTGTCGTGGCTAAAATGGGACTATGAGGATTATCTTGGATACTTCTCTCTCAATCTTTGTCGGAAACCATTGTCTGAGGGAGATTGGAGGGCAGGCATACGGTATGCGTGGATTCCTGTCTAGTCGAAACTGAGGGCATCTCCTTTCCAGGGCACGGGGTTAACATGACGTGTGCAAAAGGTTGGAAGCTGGTTGTTCAGGTGGGATGCGAACAGGTCCACTTGTGGTGTTCCGAGTATCTTGAAGATGTGTCTTGGTACAGGAGGATGGAGAGACCATTCTATTGGAGAGACGCGACCCCTGGAAAGAGGGTCTGCAAGATTGTTCTTCTTCCCTGCCAGATGGGTGGCTTGAGGAGAGATTTGACGTGGAATGCACCAACTGAGTAGCTCGCAAGTGGCAAGGCAGAGAGACGGGGGCGAGTCCCCCTTGAAGATTGATGTAGGACACAACTGTAGTGTTGTCTGACTTGACCGGGACCAGTTTGTTTAGGACTTTGGACTCGAGGGACTTCAGGGCTGTGGACACTGCCAGGAGCTCTAAGTGATTGATGTGAAGTTGACTTGCTTCCATAGACCAAGTGCCGGCCCATGATTGGTTCTCTAGATGCGCTCCCCAACCCAGTCTCCATGCATCAGTTGTGAAGACAGTTGTTGGAGAGGGGCGAGGTAAGACCACTCCACATTGAAGGTTGTCCCGAGAAAGCTACCAGGAGTTTCTTGAACTAGCCACGTTACTGGAATCATTATGGAAATGGGATCTTGTTACAGGAGATGCACCAAGGGACAAGATCCACCAGCCTTGCCATGAGGCCCACTAAACAGAGCCAAGCCTTGGCTGGGAGGGTTGGAGAAGACATGAAAACCATGATACAATCCCAAAGTGTCTGGCGTTGCTCCCCATTTGGCATTGTTCTGCTGTTAGCATGTCTAGAACTGCTCCACGGTAGGATGGTGGTTGTGTAGGAATCAGAGAAGATTTCTTGACATTGATGATGAAACCCAGTTAGTGGGTAACTTGAATGGCCTGCATGAGGGCCTTTTTCGTATCCTGGAATGTTGGACCCACTATAAGTTAATCGTCCAAGAACATGGGGACTGCCTCTCACGCCAGAAAGCTGCTACAACTTTGGCTATTCTTGTAAAGACTCCCAGGGGAATATCTAGCAGGCAGTCCGTAGACCAACTGTTGGGAGGAACAAATTGTCCAGGACAAGGGAATGCTGTATTAAGGAAGTTGCAGCGAATCCCAATGCAAATTCCCCAGGACAGAATCCCAGACAATCGTCCAGGAAATAGAACATCTCAATGCATTCGGATCAGACAAAGAAGGATCTCCATAGCATCAGACAACAAGATGTAGAAAGAAGCTACCTTGGCCCCATGACACAGGTGGTGGTCCAAGGCAGAAATTCTTTTATCCAGTGTTTTGGTCTTAGCCTAAAGAAATGCTTGCGAAGTTGGGGATTTTCACGTCCGAGTAAGTCCTTGGTTTCAGAAGACATGGATGGGGAAGGAAAATATCTTTCAGAGTCGTTTTATTTAAAAACAAGCCTGTCAAGTTGTGCCTCATATGGAGGAGTATCTGTTTATCTTGAACCTGTTCAACAGCTTTATTCAAAATATCGCACACAGGACCCCGAAGTCTATCTGGAGTGAGTGTGTTGACTCCGATTTGAGGATTTAGACCATGAGCAGGACTGCAAGTGTGACCTTGAACGGGCCCATGTATCACACCGCGGTCCCCCCGCAGAGCAGCGGCTGGTGTGGTCACCAGGGCGTTGCGGAGAATGGGACCTTTTCCTTGAGGGCATCAATAGGCTATGACCCCTCGAAGAATGCAATGTAGTGGCATGAAAACCATACATTTTCCACTTTTCGGCCATGTCTACTTTTGCATGGAATTGCCCAAGTCTTACAGAAGTCGGGATGAAGTGTGCTTATATCAGTTTTTCTTTGTCATGCATCAAGGAACATCCGTGCAAACCTTATGACTGATACCAATTTGCAAACTGCATATAAGTTTGTCAAAGGGAGGGGAGTCAATGATCTCACATTCCTGTTGAAGTAAGGCTTTTCTTTGCAACTGACCTTTCTTGCATTTGGCATTGGCTGTGTGATCATAATTGCTGCATACAGACGCATGAAGCCAGACATCCTCCTCAAATATTTGTCTTGCTTCTCAATAGTCCCGTCACTTTCATAATTATAACCTAGTGACCTGGAAAAAAAGGAGAGGTTTTTAAAATATTGCAATAAAACAAAGCATTTTGCTAGGATTTAACATGTACATTAATTTTTGTGAATTACAATTGCAATTTCATGTTAGTTCATCAAACTTTTTGCTCCATTTTCTTCAAAAGCCATAATTCAAAGGTCTGGGTCACATACAATCCACAAAATGTCTTGCGGTTACAGAAAAAATGATGGAAACCCCTTTTAGTGTACATCTAACGTTGGAACAATTTTTTGACTTGTCTAAATGTATTTCCAACAGTGAATGAAACCATCAAATATTTTGCCAAACTTTATCAGATTGGTGCAGCAAACATGCGTGTCATTTCACCGTGGCATATCAAGTCCAACAATAGTTTCACAATACAGCTTACCTAATGCATTTTTTTATATTTTAAGAAACATAAAACTACTACTAGCACTCCAACAGCTCGATTTTTCAGGACCAAAACGTAAAACCTTGAAATTCCTTACATGAAAACTGCAAAGGTTCAAAGTGTAGTTATGAGGACATATGATATATATTCTACTTCTTAATGATCTTTCTTCTAACGGTTCATTTCAAATATGACCTGTCATCACAAAATGAGGTTAAGGTGGAATTTTTTAAGAATTGAGATATATCTGGAATCTGCAGCACAAGAGCTTTCCAATGATATACAACATTAGGGGTACTGAGTTCAGTAATCGAAATGCAGGCTGCAAACTTACATAAAACTGATTCTTGAGAAAATGGCATTTAAAATCCTACAGTTGTGTTACAGTGAACGAACGACAACACAATAAAAACGGGATGAAATAGGTTTTAAAGATATTTGATGGAACCAACAAAATTGGATAAAGTAAAACAGGACTTAAACGTTTACTTGAAAACCAAAAATCGACCACCCCTTCAAATTTTGGCTTTGCCCCACGTGCTGTGCTGCAAAATGGCAATTTCCAACTTTAAGCTCATTTCGTGGTGACAGGTCACAAATAGGTTCCTTTCAAGATAACACTGAAGGAAACCATTTTAGCATGAGTGCAAATAAGTCAAAATAACTTAGCAGAGTTTAATAAGTGTTTCTCAATGGAGTAAAAATAAATGACATGGGAAACTGATGTAATGAATTGATCAGACTTAGCTACCATCACACATATTATTATCCTATCCAAACCCCACTTTGTAGCCAGATAATATATTGCCAAACTACAATTCAACTTGGGGAGGGCAGTGGGGGTGTAACAAGGTGACTATGCAATTGGTCAGATTCTTTTGTTTATATTACTATTTGATTGTTTTCAATACAAACATTACTTGTAATAGTCCTGGTTAGACTGCTCTTGGCTCTTGGTGATATGGTAGGGTACTAGGAACGGACACTTGAGGTAGAAATGTGCCAACATAAGATCTCCTAAATCAGGAAAATCACACCACAGTGTAACAGCAATAGCTGCAAATGGAAAAGCTGACTCATAGTTAGACGACACCTGTTCATCACTTTGTTTCTGTGGACGAGAAATTTAAAATATGTACATATATTAATGGTACTTCAGCCTTAAATCTCAACACAGTTCTGAAATAACATAGCTTTACATCAACTAGCTTAATCTTTAAAGAATTTGATTTATGAGTCAATAAAAGCAACCAGGATGTAAATGCAAATATGAGGGTAGCAAACTGTCACACTATGTCATAAATACTAATAGTCCCAAAGGTTAAAACATCCAATATTTGCACCTGTTAAATCTTACATACTGGTCACATTGGTCAGCAGAGGTTACATGGTTTAGAGTTGCTCCCAATCCAAAGGAATGTACACAAGATATCTTCATTATTATAAGTGCTGTACCAAATTAATTCTCAAACTGCAGAGAAATTGTTTTATATTTACGTTGTTATAACACTGAAGTATTGTGAGAAACAATGGGGAATACATACCACTATTTTCTTGGCCAAGAGATTTTTAACAAAGGCCTTGCTTGCTTCATCCCGAGTAACAGACACCCTTCTTCCAGAAATGTTGACCATTTCTCCTAGAAGTAGTGATTTCAGTCGTTGCAACTTGTCCATTAGATGTGTACCAGACTGATTGGAGATCGCATTGACTGGAATATTGACAGCTTTTTGCAGGTCGAACCGATACTTCTTCAACTAAATAAAGCAATATGAATTTACAAAAGTCACTCAAGAATGCAGAAATAGATTATACCATCATATCAAATACAATATTTACTCTTTTAATTTTTGAATTATAAAGGGACCACAATGAGAAAAACAAACCACAAAAAAACAGTTTTCTGATTAAAGTTCATCACTCAAATCCAGTTCATTCTTATTTAAACTTCAATTAAAGACATGTTAACATTCAAATAAGGTTTAAATAAATATTTACAACAATTGTTAAAATTAAATTATTAAAAGATCCTATGCTGTCTGGTATCTGTCTGTGATGTAAGTACATATAATTAACCTGTAGGTTGATAACCTATAGCAAGGACACATGGTCACTGTTGGGATTCTTGGAAGAATAAGGTGGGTGGTAGAGGACATTTTGTGGTCACTATTTATCCAAGGAAAGGATGCGGTTTTACCCTCACAAAGAGTCAGAAAACTACTTCAAGGAGAAAATGTGGTCACACCACCACAGAGGGAGAGGCTGACATCTATCAGTGGTTTGGGGACATATAAATAGTAAGGAGGGAAAGTTGTTCATCTTGATTGAGACACCAGAGGGTGCACAACATTTTGTATAGCTCCAGAATACGATAATGTAGAAATAAATAGATTAGCTCCAGTGTATAGCAAGAAGTTGTCCAGTGTGAGTTCCTGATGTAGAGAACTGTTAGTACAATCGATGTTCACCGAGGTGGACAACGTAACACTGTCTGTCTGATGTCTGTGTGTCACGTTTTTTATAAAAGGCCTAGAAACTCTGATTATGCCGTCATCCAGCATATGGAGGTCCTATACTGGTATGCACCGATTTCACTATCCTCTGTGAAGTCATGGTTGGCACAGACAAAAATGATGTATTTGCTTTGTTTTGCTTTTTATGGCAAATTTGTTTCTTTGAGACTTTAAATAGTTAAATATAACAACACTATCTCTATGAAACACTCCAAAATGCATTTTAAAACCTGAATGTACAAAGAATCCCTTCTCAAAATATGTCAATTGAAGACGCATTGACCAGCGCGGCATCCCGCTAGTCTAGAATAACACATTGGTAACACATTTCCATTGATACCCAGGTGAAACCATTAGACAGTAATTTAGGTTCTTATTCCCCCATTAACATGTACATGCAGCAGCACATTACGCCTCCTGATGCAAAATAGTTAAGTGGTCAATACATGTCTGCATTAGTATGCACAAAGGTGGTGGTTTCCTGACAGATTTGTGCTTAATAGTGATCATAGTATGACATTTGGGACAAATGTAACAAACGTTCTTTTGAAGCTTTTAACCACTGACAGTAATTTGGACAATATACCAACCTGAGTGTCAGTTGTTGTAGCAAGTTTTTGACAGCAGTCCATCACTGCATTGTGTTTATTTTGAAGTGCCTCGTATTCTTTCAATGTATCAGCCGAGATTGCTTTATGCAGAACTGCAAAGGAAACAAAACAATCAAATAATACAAGACAAGTTTGCTAACGTTCCCACAAGTGGGACTGACTGTTTACCACCACCGTTGGCAAATGTTAGCAGCAATGGTGTACAGTCTTCCTCAGTCGTTCCCTTCGTTTCTAAAATAGCCGACAAAAAATGTAGTGTCTGTTTCAACCATAGAGCTATATTAAAGTACTAGAGCACTAACTCCCCATTCTTGCGCACAGATACGCTTTGAAGCCGTCATTGGTGCAGACATTTTGAATTCACGTGTGTCTTTGTAGAACACAACGAAATTAGATGGATTGCATTTCAAAGTGTACTCTAAATGCAACGCGCAAGTAGAACATACGCAAACAACTTAAGCGTGTCATGATCGAAAACATTTCCCAAAAAAGTCATGGCAAAAAGCATCTTCAGCAGATATGCACAGGCATTACGCTGTGCGCAGAGTCAAATGAAACTCATTTGCTGATCGTGTGTTGCGGTTTTGGGCGTGTCAACTTCGGCAACGCACTTGTATAGAATACAAACGCAGATATGCAAATAGCCATACAAAAACCGCACAAAATTTCAAGTTTTCCATAGGTTTGTGTACAAACATGGATGCGCCCAGCAGGCATCACTTTGTACAAGAGTCAGCGCTCTAGTCATTTAATATTGCTCTATGGTTTCAATACAACAAAATACTCAGGGTAGCAACATATGAAGTTTGAAGACCTGGAGATGGCAACTTTCATTTGATTTTCACTCAACCCTGGTCAGTGGAAATCATAAAATGGCAAACCTGACATAAACACATGAAAGAGAGAAATTCATGTACGCTGTATGTGCCATGCTACATGTTTGTGTTTGGGTAATAGACTTTCTAAATCTCACTAGTCCACATTCACTTTTCTATGAATGTCTTGGTACCAAACACTGACTAGTCTGCATGATCGATGGAACAGAAGTGGAGAGCAACAATTTTAATTTCATAACAATCATCAATTCCCAATATTTTCAATATACCGTATTGCAAATTGTAATGCTGTATTTTCTTTCGCAATACTCACTTGTTGCCCTTGATTGGATGGGCCCAGCCAGGACACAACACAAATGCAAAAAAAAGATGTCACACACATTGCAGATCCTACACATTGCGCCTGTATGTGCTGAATTTTTGTAAAATCTGGCAGGTTTTTGAGTCAGACATACATGCTCACTTAGTGTTGTCATGTGATATACTAACATATTGCTGTAACATTGTACTATGTGTGCATGCTTACATTTTCAGAACTATGTTAATAGGGATTAAAATTAAAAGACCATCAAAATGAAATCATAAAATATAGGTAAATTAAAAGTGGGTGTCATGAGCGTGACATGGTCAGATTGTATGGAACTGAGTCATGGGTGAATTCGTACCTGAATTGTCATTGTTCTGGAGTGACGCAAGAGGTAATTGGGCTGCTCTTGGCTTTGTTGTCGTCTGTGTTGCTGCTGCAGCTGCTGCTGCAGCTGCTGCTGCTTGATGTTGAGCCTCCCGTACTTTCCTTGCCATATCATCTTGAGCCAATCGTTCAGCTTCGGCTTTCACAAACATTCATGCACATATTTATAGTCAGTATACATATACTTATGCTTTGAAATATATTACAATAGTGGTTTCAATTAAATTTCATAATTTTTGTATCTCATTTAAAGTAAAACATCGAACAAAACAAGGCCAATATAAAACATGTAGTCATTACAAATTTGGATTAATTTCACAAACTATCTTTTTGGTCATGAATTTAAGACTGAAATACTGACTCACTGGTAGTATTGCACATGCCTATGTGAGGATTGAGAACGTTCAACCAATCAAACGGTATTACAGCACTTGATTTCATAGGAGTCCAAATTTCATGTGACACTGGAAAAGTGTTTCAGACCAGCTAGACATGTCTTTATCATCCATTTAAGACCGGCCATATGACAGGCTCTCGACCAATGGCAATGGGTAAACTGTCTTAGGTATTTATGAATAAAGGGATAAAAATCATTCAACCTGAACAAAGGCATTGCAATATTTGGTTATGACAAACATTTTTATCAACCCACTCCGCTGCAAACCATTGTCTGTCAGTTTTCTACAAAGAACCTTCTTTAAAAACTTGAAGACCGGTCATGCCTACGTCATTCAGCCCAATTTGTGAACATGGATTAGGTCTTGTAAGACCAGATGCCAATGTTATGTTGCAGCAGGTAGCCTACAGGCGACGTGATAACGGACATAAAGAAGACTCACCAACCATATTGGAGGCATGTTCTTGCCGAATCATAAGGGACTCAATAATTTTATGCATGCTTTCCACTAGATCCATTGATGCCCCTTTCTGCTTTGCATCAGCCAAAAGGTGCTCTGAAACAAACAAACAAACAGAGTAAACACTACACGTCCATTATGTGTCTATATCCTCTTGATCAATCCATATTTGTTCAGACCCAACAGCCAACACCTTTACTGGCAAAGTCCCATACACAAAACCCAATTGTACCTTGATTCATCTTAACTTGGTGTAAAACAGAGTTTGTATCAATTCTTGTATCTCACATGCATAAATCTCACCGAACAACCGATATTCTCCATATATAATGGCTGAGCAGTCCATTGTTTTAATGGAGTCCAAATATAATACTTGCGCAGTCAATTTATCCACCGTGTTGTAACTCTGTCGGTGCTTTAAGTTACAAACGCTGAGACAATAATATTCAAAAGAAGTTGAAATTCATGCTATCCAGCTCAAAGACAGAAAATGATAAATGGTGTTTGGCTGTTATGTTTTAAATAATGTTATATGATCCACTGCATGCATATGAAATCAAATAAAATGACTGTTTTTAGCATACTGAAATATACTAGAACTGTGGACACGCCATACAAATTGGCTCCAAATTCCATGAATTTGGCTAGGACAACCTACATAGGAACAAAAGGCTTGAATGTGACATACCAGCTTTCTGTGCCAATTGCTCAACACTTTTCTTGATCTGCTCTGCATCAGGATGGAGAAATTCTTTGTGTTTGAACTTGTTCAACTGAAGACAAATTTTCTTGGAAGATTCATCAATTTGTTTATGGACATTCATCATGCTATCCAGGTAGGTTTGTCTTTCAGCCACTCTACAACATAACAAATCAGTAAATAGAAAGTCCTTTTAAGTATTTGTGAATCCACCAAAATCCTCCTTTTTATATATAAACCAACAACATATTCTGTGAACGTCAACCAAAGTGACACACTAAGCGTATACAAAGTAATGGTGTCCATGCCCTATGCAATATATCCTTCAAAACACTGGATAAATCGATGAAACATTTTATGCTATAGCTTTATAGTTACTATATGGAAGTCACAGGATTGTCCCCGTTTTTATAGGCAACTTAGAAACAAACATCATATCTTTCCTGTAGTAAAACTAGCCCCCCTCGGAGAACCATGGAGCATTCTACTTTCCCTCGGCTTCGCCTCCGGCAAAATAGAATGCTTCATGGATCACCTCAGGAGGCTAGTTTTACTACACCGCTCGAAGCTGTCAATATTTGTATGTATTGGCACTACTTGTGTGTAGAGGGGATTGACGGTTATTATCGAATTACATTTCTTTTCAGTTTTCACAAGTCTACTGTCCAATGTGTTTGATTCTCTTCAGCACTGATCTTTATTGAACAAATCAGCCAGCTTTACCAATAAATTAAACTAGGTAGACCTGTGACAGCTTCATCCCATCAAATCCGTCAATAAGCCCTTAATGTTTGCAAACAGATGATAGTGAGGAATGATTATGAGATATTGTTTGTAAAGAAATTATATCAACTGCTTGACGGAGTAAGACTTAGACTTGTGGCTTATTTATGTGCAATGCTTAGTTAAATGATGTTTCACTTGCATCCAATGACTCCATTGCCATCGCAAGGTTACATGTACACGTAGTAAAGTCCTTAGACAACCATCCATGTGCATCAGTATACAAACTAAGAGTGATCATTTCAAAACAGAACAAAATTGTTTTGCTATACCAACTTGTTATTTTCATTTTCAAGAAAGAAAGGATTGTTTTCACTTTTCTTGTGCATTTTAATTCTGAAGTCCCCGGGCTGCTTCAGCCATTGACCTTCACAATGTACAAGCAAAGGCTGCCCAGAGTACAAGCAAGACACATCACACTCTATACAAGAACACTCAAGAACCCTAGACATGTTCTCCACTGTGGATGATATTGTTTTTAAAGACATTCGGGTTGTTGTTCCACCTTATATACTTTATGACCAGGTTCATGAGAAGTTTGGAGACACATTATGTGATGTGCCCATCTCTTAAACAGGTAGTTTTGATGACAATACCAAGAAGTATAAGTTTGACGTTTCAGTCAGTATGCTCCGACTCAAGAGCAGGAATCCTGAACTAGGAGGTAGAGGGTTGTTGAAGGCAAAGTGTGAGCGGATACAGCAAGCACAGGACTGCATTCTGATGGAAGTGCAGTATGACAATGCTGGGAAGAAGTTCACTGGAGTAAGTTCCATAAACAAGATCTTGGTACAGGTGAGCTATCTGTCCAAGTTAAAAGTGGGCACCACAGGTCAGTGGCATTACATTCCAAATGGTGACCTTGAGTACAGATGACCCATTGGTCTGCTTGACAAGATTAGTTGACTGTGGACATACAAGGTGGGTAGAGAAGCCATATCAGTCTGAGTGAGTGAAAAGTGGTAAGTGTAGATGGGGTGATCTGTTGGTAAGAAGCAGGGGAAGCCTATATCTGAGATGGTAAACAGGAACCTATCTCAATGGCTCCTATGAAGTGCCTAGGTTGTCAGAATGTTGAGCTTAGTTCTTTGCCAGTTAACATGATGGTTTGCTATCCAAGCATGGATCATCAGACTGAAGAGTACCCAGGCCCAATTCCATGGCTCTGCTTCCAATAAGTAAAGAATCTTTGTAGACTATTGCAAAAATATGTTTAGAGTAATACATTTCTAAAAGCATGTTTTATGTAGCAGAGAAGATAGATTGTTACACAAACCTTCTGTTATGCTCAGCCTCGATTTCAGCCTCAGCTTCTTTCTGATACGCATTCTTTAGCTTCATCTCCATTCTCTTTAATATAAAATAGAGGACACGTTTCAAAATACTGGCCAACAGCACATAAAACCACACTAAATTCACTGGATGCTTCACAGAAAGAACAGCAAATACCACTTACCTGTTTATGCCCCCCAAAAAGAAAAGTATAAGAAAAACTAACCACTCAGAAGTGTTGAAGTTTTTGAGCTGATTATACAGCTGTTAACATATTAAAAATAACTAACTATGGAAGAAAGGCCTTGGAAATTGGAAAATAGTTCACTGAACTAGGGCTGATATTGTGCATTAGTCGACAAAGCGATAACATTTGTTTTACCCATTTTGGATCACTAATGGTTGGTTGGTTGGTTGGTGTGAAATAAGCTTCAGGTATGCAAACTGCAGATGTACCTTGACATGCAAATTGTAGCGATCTCGCTGGTGTTGCAGGCGTTGTTTTCTCATTTGGTCATTCTCATGTCGAACATGCTGCATATTCTGCAACAATAAGCGCGTCTTCTCATCTTGTTGCTCAGTAAGCAGACAAGAGCTTCTGACTGCTTGAACTTGAAGATGGTCAGAGTGCTCTTTTATCTCATGTCGATGCTTATCTGTTCTTTCCTGTTGACATTTTGTACATTAACACAGATCAATCTGACTATTTTTACAGAAAATACATAGTTCAATAAACAGCAATGCTACAATATTTATTGAGCCATAGGAAAAATCCTTCCATTCTGTCAGTATAACCTTTGCACTTGACTCATTCCAGTTCAATACTGCACTTACCTTGGATAGTTTATCCCACTGTTGTTTACATTCTTGAATTGATACCTCGGACTTGCCAGTCTGAACAGAGGCTAACGTTGCTTGGATATCATCTAATTTAATTTCACTACAAGGAAAACATAACATGTGTATTGTTAAATGCATGTTGAAACATTGTATTTAACAACCATCTGCATCACATGGTTTGCGGAGAAGTATTAAATGCCAAATTCCTAAGGAGTTGACTGATTTGCCTACCTTCAGCAGCAAAGCAATTGGGGTACTCAAAACCAGCCTACACCAAGAACCACATTTTGTACTTTTTCCACAAATGTTTGTTTTTTCTTTTAATACATACTATTTGTATTCAAATGGATTTAGTTTATCAGTAAGCACTAAACTATGTTGTAAGCAGTCTGTACCCTTGGGTTTCCACCAAAGTATATGAGTTGGGCATGCTATTTGCTATTGCTGAGTCCTGGGATTGGCAGATTGGCAAATAGCATGGCTTAGGCTAATGCTTCGGCAGGTGCTGAGAAGTGAGGTTCACTTTGTTGCAACATAAAGTTTAAGACACCTGATCCATTTTGGAGCAAGCTCTGACATCCACTCAAAACATTGGGTTTGTGCGTGTCTGCTTATTGTAAACCTCTCAAATGTTATCAAGTAACAAAAAACATCTTAATTCGACCAAAATTTAATTGACCTCTGTGTCGTGGAGTGTCGTGAATTGGGCAAATGCCTGCATCTTGCATTTCACCTTTTGTGACCTCGTTCAGGATGCACCAGACTCTAAATATGGGCACAAGCTCTCTTCTGGTTATATACTTTTGATGAAGGTGCCTTTTCGTCTGAGCTCCTTTTTTTTCTCTGCCCTCTTTGTTTAGCCCTTGCCTTGACTGACGTTTTTTTTAGTTGCCATGACTATTATCAGAAATAGTGAGCTAAATGTACATGTTAATGCAGTTGCAGCAGATCAACTTTTGTACACAGATATATTGTGAAATAAAATTTATTTTGAAATGCAGCATAAATACTCCAGCGTAATGATTAAAGGAGTGATTGCAGAATACCCCGCCACTCGAAAATCACCACCTAACAATCAATGGCTACGCAGTCGAAGGAGCTAGGGAAAAGTCTCAAACCAATGTAGATTCCTGGAGTGGCTACGCGGATACGGGGATACAGAGTGGGATTGAGTTGGGGAGGGGCAAAACAGGGTGCTAATTTCCCTGTAAAATAAAATCCTCCAAGGGAATATATCAGTACATACAACGTAAATTGAATGGGGAAGATGGAAGAAGTCTATAAGTCCTGAGTGGCTGAGCCGATACGTGGATACGGAGTGGGATTGAGTCGGGAAAGGGCAACAGAGGGTGCTCTTTTCCCTTATAAAAATCCTCCAAAAGGATGAATCAGTTTCAAAGCCTAAATTGAATGGAGAAGACAAAAAGATCAAGTCCAACATAGGTCCCCCGGAGTTGATATGCGGATACAGAGACAGAGTGAGAATGTTTACTGAGGGCAACCACCCATGACTCAGTTTATCGAGGGTAATCCAGCCTGATTTGGTAGCCGGCTATGAGGTGGAGAGGTTGAGTGGCAGGGTATTCTGCAATTGTGCCTGATTCAGTTAAGGTTGTACTACTGTACCTCAAAATAACTTCTTCTCTTGGTAAAGATGAAGTTGATGCATCACTTGGTAAGTTGCCTTCCTCTGATACAAAGCTAGAAATGCCAGCTGGACTCCATGTATCATTTGTATCGGAGGTGTGACTGAGTTTGTGAAGCACTGAAAGACTAAGTGTAGCTGGAATCTTTGGTGGAGAGGTACAATTCACAATGGTTTCCTGAAGATAAACACAAAATAATGCACTAAATTGATTACAGTCTCTGTAGCACAACATTTTTACTGATGCCTTTATTAGGTTTGTGCAATATTGGACTGAAAGAGTCCATTTAAGCTACACCAACACAAAAACTCCATGGTAAATATTACCAACTCCCAAGTACTTGTTTAGATGGGCTGTTATGTCACCTACAAAATTACAGTAGTTCCACTTACATCCACATGCAAGCTTTGCTGCATCACGCCAGTACGCTAGACAGCATATCTGCTGGTAGTGGTATATGTATGCATGTTGCACAGAAAACATTCCATCAAACCATTGTGCACTTAACATGAACCTTTATAATAATAACAGAAAGGTCAACAGGAACCAACTGTTTCCAACTGAATTTTTCATTGCCCAGTGCTGACCCACAGCAAATGGCCATGAACTGCAGTGGACACCCACACAAGGCAGGTGGATCTACTTCAAACTTCTGCTTTACATCAGGAGCCCCCTCTCCTTTCAAGACCTCCAGTTTCATGAAAATAGAAAGCACAATGTATGCCACCTGCAAGAGGTGGTCGCTGCCACAGGCCTCCTGAAGACTGACTGGAAATGGTGCTGCGCCATGAACTAGGCAAACATATATGCCAAACCCAATCAGCTTGTACCTTGTACCTTGTAGTTCAAACTCCCGAACGGTCCACCAGGGACTAAACTGGAAGTTGACGAGAGTGGATTAATGTCTAGCGGGGGCTGTGATGTTTTTGTTGGTTTTGGATGGAGCTTTTGAAGGCTGCAGAGGAAGTTATGTTGACAGTTTGCTGTGGTAGGGCATTCCAAAGTAAAATAGCTTCAGGAAAATAAAACTGGATAAAGGGGGTAGATGTATGATGGTGGACTTCAAACTGCTTGTTGTGGGTTCTCCTGGATCTGATAGTTTTCTGTCTGAGGTATAAGTTGGCGTCAATGTCGATGTCTTGGTTAAGAATTCTGTGGAGTATCGTTTCGGTTTGCGGTAACACCTACTGCTTAGAAGATATTTAGTTCTGAAAAGAACTTGTCCTGCTTATTATCAACTTCGCTAAGTAGTTTTTGTTCTGATAAGAACAGTCCTGCTTTAAGTTTTAAAAGAACTTGTCTTTGGTCTCAACATTTTGACTAGCCTGCTCTACTCATCGTCAGGAGACATCGTCAGTGAATTCTGTGGAGTGTAACTAGTCATTGCGTCTGTCGCCTGGTTTCGATGGGATCCCAATTGAGGTCAGTGAGCATCTTGGTCACACTGGATTTGGCTCTATAGTCGCCACACACAAACCTGGCTGCTCTTCGTTGGACTTTTTGAAGAATGTCCCTGTTTTTCTTGGTTCCTGGGTTCCAAGCGGCAGAGGCATACTCTAAATGTGGTTGGATGATGGTTTGGTAAAAGTTTTCATTAACAGTCTTTCAGCACTGGTAAAAATTTCTTTGCACAAAATTAAGCATCTTGGTAGCTTTGTTTGCTGCATAATGAGAATGTTTGTCATTTCAAGTTATTTTGAATAACAACACCAAGGTATTTGTCCTCAGAGACTTCCTGCAGGGTTTCACCGAGCATTGTATATTTTGGTGCTCCTGCTCATAGCCAACTCATCCATTCTCCGTTACTGCAACCCTACTAAACTCAAGGAAGTGTACCACAAATTCCTTGAAGAGTTGGTTAGGTATTCACTATGCACATGAAATGAACAAAAACAAGATGAATGACATACATGTACTCATCCTCTAGCCACTGGACAAGTACCGTAGCTTAGCCAGAAAGGTGACACTCTTCATGACTACATGTATCAAAATATCCCCAACCCACACCCAAGCACAGAAAGTTGATAGGACAATGAAAACAAACAAACAAACAAGCAGCCCCAGATTTTTCAAAAATTATAAACAAAAATTCAACAAAAATTAATACTTACATGCACTAGCCCATCTCTGTACCAGCCACTGTCATACACAAGACCACCTTTTTTTGATAGCTGTAATGCTTTTGATGTGCTCATTTTTACTGTTGGTCCATGTAAACATCTGAATCCCAGTACCGGTACCTGCATACATGTACATTGGTTAAAAAAAAAACCCAGAAATCAAACTATGAACATGTACATGTACATGTATGTATACTTAAAATAGATCATCACCGCCGCGTGTATCTTAAATGTGCTTTATAGTAATACAATGTACATCAACATGTGCATTATAGTAATGCATCATACATGTCATACTATAAGTAGCCCCATAAATGTGGCTGAAATACTGGACTTCCTCTGTATACAAAAGTTTTAATTTTGTGCATTAAAAAACAAATCTGGGACTGAGACACATTTCCAATTTTGTTAGAACATACTTAGAAAATGTTCTTGACTCTCCATAGACTTTGTGTACACAATGGCGGAAGTGGCGTCAGTTTGCAACATTTTTCCCTAATTTTCCTCGACATCATGCGCACGGTACAAAAACCTTTTTTAAAAGTTTAAATTTTGTGCATTAAAAAAAAAACTATCTTGCTGGATAGCAGCTTGAGTAACTCCAGCTGACATGCTCATCAGGAATTCACATATAACGCTGGAGACAAAAGTATGTTGTAAAAGTTAGATCGTAAGAGACCCTAAAATTTCAGCCCCCAAAACGGCCCCTACAAAATCCTAACACAGATTCCATCACACCATGCCTCAGTCATTCACGAAGCTAATGATTGACTTGAAACAGGAATTCCTTGTATTATAAAGTAGGTCCTTGTTATTTGTTCAGAAAAATAAAGTTTCCTCTTATTTTCACGTCGCGGCAACATGCAGTGTGCCTGCTGCGGTGAGAGAGGAAAGGACTGGAAACATGTCTAAAACGATGTCTATTTTAGCTGCTACAGGAAAAAGCTGTTGTATCACACGAAACAAGACGGTATAGGCCTTTCTTTTGTTTGTAAACATTGGCGCCATTTTGTATGGGCTGCCGTAAGCGCATAAATTGACGCCATGGTTGGCAACATATTTTTCCCCAAAAAGTCCTCATAACGCCATCAACACATACATGTAGTAAAAAGGCATATGTAGGAATTATTTTGTAGCTTTGTTGAAAATGTTGTATTTTCAAGTATCAAATAATATTTTGGTGATCTGTAATAACTCTTCATTTTTGCAGTGTTGGACCTTCCATAGTTTTGCAGGCTGTGGTTGGCAAAAATGCAGTTTGCCAACCAAGCGCAGAAAGGTCTATAATAAAATGCACATGCGTCAGTTGCGGGAAGTCCTACCTCGTCTCCACTTCCTGCTTCCTATTGAAAACGAGTTTGGAAATAAAGTAAGCACTAGGGACGAGCTTGGTGTGAGTCCAGTAAATCACATGAATCAGGAGGAGGTTGCAGGACGTCGAAATCTTGTCAATTCTTGGGCCAGATTTTATGACAAATTTCGTTCAAATGCAAGAATTGCCATGCAAGAATTGCCATAAAAGTAGTCCTTGGACCCAACTTATCGCCTTTTCCCGTTAAATTCCGAGATAAATGCTGCAGATAATTTGGTATCGCACTGACGCTCCGGGCACTCCTGATGTCCGGATAATTAATGCGATTCCAAATTATCAGCTGCGTTTATCACGTGGTCTCGTGACTGGTCAATCTGACGCCGCCTATCATATGCGCCACATGAAGCAGACGGGTAGCTCGGAGGGCTCCAATAATTTGGCACGCAAGTGACCCTGGGCACTTGTCCAGTTAACTTTAAAATCTAATTTCTACACGTTCGTATGCCAGGGTCATTGACCTAGAAACACGTAATGTGATAAAATTCTCATGGTGGTTCCACCGCGTAAATTTTTTGGGCAAGCTGCTCGAAGGGTTAATCATTATTCTACACTGTTTGTAGTTTATCTTTTAAATACTTTGTGTTTGTCTGCTTGTCTGTTTTTGTACCCTGGGCCTGGGCTGTAAAAGGACCAATTACCTGGGTTTTGTGTTCAATCTTTATTCAATATATCCTCGATCCTCCTATTTCTGCGCAGATAAGGCTTTGCAACCAAGTAGCTTAAAAATAGCAAAGCAACCACTCTTTTCCTCAACAAAACTTATAATGTTGGCTTACGATCATCCACCGTACCGATTATCAAAGCAAAATCTCCTTATTTGTGGCAGCAAGCGGGGAATTCCAAAGCGTGCAGTTTTGGCGTTCTAGAAAATAATCCTGCCTAATTCTGCGCAGGGGACGCTTCATGAAAAATATGTGCTGTCCGGGCCATGTAACTCAATATAAACTTTTTTTTTTAATAACTTAGACTAAGACTTGTTGGCTTTAGGAAATTATATTTTCTGAGCTTTTCAAACAAATTTTATTTCTTTTTCCTTTCTTTTTTTCAATGCCAATACACTTTTCCTAATTTCAAGATTATTTTCAATATCCTATTTTCGAGATTGATACAAGGGCTTAAACTTTTTATACATATTTACCTATTAAATGTAGATCCCAATGATATTCTTATTCTGATCATCCCAATCAATGGTAACAGTTTTTAAGATGTCGGATTTTAAAACTTATGACCAAAAAATTCCCAAAAAATATAAGAATTGTGTCTTTTTAGTTGCACCGTAAGTTTTACATCCTCGTAGAAACTGCAATTCTTATCTATGACATCTTAACTATAATACTGACGATATTGGGAGACCAAGAAAGGTCACCTTTTGGTCATATTGTCGACTTCTGCAGGCCCGGAAGCATCTGCCTGCATTTGTACTTAAAAGCCGATGTTTTTCATATTGTGCCTGAATTCCCGGTAAAGCCTTCAATTTCCAATTTTTTTTTCGGCTGCTGGTTAAAGTTCATGCATCAAAGCATATGATCCCAGTGAAAGTTTGTCATTTTTTAGGATGCATGCCTTGAAAAATATAACTTAAAGGCGAGTGCGCAGAAATAGGAGCGCGTAGCTTAGGAGGTCTGACGATATATTGTTGATGTACCCTAACGTGGCGCGGCCCCTAATGTGGCGCGGCCCCTAACGTGGCGCACTTTTATTTTTCGCATGTAGCGCCTAGCTAGAGCAAAAGTTTTAACTGAAATTTCACAGAAAGTGAAATTTCATCAAGTTCTAAACACTCCCGTTCATAAATCGCGAGTTCATTTACCCGTTACAAAGTTAAAAGAAAAAATTATTTTGGCGTGATTTTCCGATTTTATTTTCAAGTGCAAAGTGAACCCTTTGAAAATGCCCCGAAAAATAAGAAAATAATTTTCTGACAAACATCTGGCTGGGTTTGTAAGTAAAGATAATAATGATTTATCAGAATTTATCAAGTTTACAGAAATTCTTAAATGTAAATTTGGAATTTTCTGAGATTTATTCAAGTGCGCCACGTTAGGGAACACTCCACCAATTTGTGCCCAATTTCCGGACGCGACCGTTTTTGCATTTCGGATTAAATTTTATGAAACCGAAATTGTTCACAGAGGTTAAATAGCAAGCATTAAAAAGGTAAAAGTACCAGTATTTCACTGCATGAATTTGAGGTTTATCAACAAAGAGGTTTGGCAACACTACACGAGGAAAGTTGGGTAAGCTTCGAAGTGCGCCACGACTATATGAAATAAAGATTTTAATATATATTCATTGACGGAAAATTTCGTCGAAATGACACATCCTGAACCCACGGGAAGGCAAATTTAGATTTCTAGGTGAGTACTCAACATCCATACGAAATTATGTATGGCGGGTCGATTTCGCCACAGGTTCGAAATGACACAACAGCGTGGCGTTGTTCACAGGTCTAAAAAAAGGCGATAAGTTGGGTCCAAGTTACTCGGACTACAAACTCTCCTGTCACGAAATGTTCGGCTTCAGTATTTCACGAGTAATCTTGATGTGGATAAGTACCTCTAGGTGGGTTGAATCTCTAAAATGTCATACAAAAATGTGAAATTTACCAGAATTTTGTTCACCACGAAGCTCACAATCCTTGACTAGCCCGAGTAGTCGTCGACTGTACCGTACCCACCCGTACCCCGGCGCGCGCGCGGCGCGCGGTACGTGAGAAATGAAGCGCCCTCAGTCGACGGCAAATGAAGAGAGCTTTAGACTTGAGCTGGAGGAGCGAGACGGCAGACTGCAAGAATCCTGGTGAATAAAATTCTGGTAAATTTCACATTTTTGTTTGACATTTTAGGGATTTCAACCCACCCTAGAGGTACCTATCCACATCAAGATAATACTTGTGAAATACTGAGGCCGAATATTTCGTAAAAGGAGAGTTTGGAGGTCAGAAAAAATTGAGAATTTTCCGCCAGTCTGCCAGTGCAGTGAAGTTCAACTTGAACTGAAGTTCAAGTACAGTCAATTGACCGGTTCCGCAATTTGACCGTACCGGTTCCGCAATTTCGGAAAACTAGCTCTCGTTTTCAGGAAGACGAAAACGCCCAGGACTTAAACTTTAGTGCCGATGGAAAGGTTATTCAATCTACTTTTCAAAAATGGTTTTAGTTTTAGGATACTCACTTACATTTAAAAATAAATCCCTTACGACCGTCACTTGCACATTTTATCGCAGAAATCTGCGCAGATTTCTGCGATGTCGCACATTTTATCGCAGAAATCTGCGCAGATTTCTGCGATGTCGCACATTTTATCGCACATTTCTGCGATGTCGCACATTTTATCGCAGAAATCTTCGCAGATTTCTGCGATGTCGCACATTTTATCGCAGAAATATGCGCAGATTTCTGCGATGTCGCACATTTTATCGAAGATTTCTGCGAGCCCATGGGCGCGCGAACACGTTTTCTATGAGGCGCAATGTGTAAATGAATTATTTAACAACATTATTTATAATTCATTATTTATTATTCCGGACAAATATGTAAATAACTGTTTGACAGTTTGCATTATATGTAAATAAATTTATTTGCCACTGCTAAAAATTAGATATAAATAATGAGGTACCAAATAAATTAAATATAAATAAAGTGTGCAAAAAATTATATATAAATAATTCGGTACGAAATAAATTATATAATAAATTATTAAAGCATGCAAAAAATTACATATAAATAAAAAGGTTGCAAATAAATTATATATAAATAAACAAAGTAGGCAACAAATTATATATAAATAATTAGGTACCAAATAAATTATATAATAAATAATTGAAGCGTGCAAAAAAAAATATATAAATAAAAAAGTTGCAAATAAATTATATATAAATAAATAAAGTAGGCAAAAAATGATATATAAATAATAAGTTTGCAAATAAATTATATATCAATAAAAAAAGTGTGAAAAAATTATATATAAATAATAGGTTTGTATGAAGCCCGGGAAGGGACAAGGTGGAAAAATTTTTGGAATTTCCTAATTTGTTAGCACGAATTACTAATTCGTTCGCACGAATTCCTAATTTGTGGGAACGAATTAATTATTCGTTCGAATGAATCAGTAATTCGTTCGCACGAATTCCTATTTCGTTCGCACGAATTACTAATTTGTGGGAACGAATTAATTATTCGTTCGAATGAATCAGTAATTCGTTCGCACGAATTCCTATTTCGTTTGTACGAATTCCTAATTTGTTCACACGAATTACTAATTCGTTCGCACGAATTACTAATTCGTTTCATAAATTGCTATTTCGTCCCCACAAATTGCTAATTCGTTCCCATGAATTGCTAATTCATTCGCACGAATTGCTATTTCGTTCGCACGATTTCCTAATTCGTGGGAACGAATTGCTAACTCGTGCATCCGGGAACGTGCGAGTAATTCGTGTGAACAAGTTGGTAATTCGTGGGAACGAATTAGCAATTCATGCGAACGAATTAGCAATTCGTGCGAACGAGTTAGCAATTCGTGCGAACGAGTTAGTAATTCGTGCGAACGAATTAGTAATTCATGCGCATGAATTAGTAATTCGTGCGAACGAATAACTAATTCGTTCCCACGAATTACTAATTCGTTCCCACGAATTACTAATCTGTTCCCACAAATTAGTAATTTGTTCGAACTAATTACTAATTCGTGCGAACGAATAACTAATTCGTGCGAACGGATTAGTAGTTCGCATGAATTGCTAATTCGTTCCCATGAATTACCAACTTGTTCCCACGAATTACTGGCACGTTCCCGGATGCACGAGTTAGCAATTCGTTCCCACGAATTAGGAAATCGTGCGAACGAAATAGCAATTCAGGCGAATGAATTAGCAATTCGTGGGAACGAATTAGCAATTTGTGGGGACGAAATAGCAATTCATGCGAACGAATTAGCAATTCGTGCGAACGAGTTAGCAATTCGTGCGAACGAGTTAGCAATTCGTGCGAACGAGTTAGTAATTCGTGCGAACGAATTAGTAATACATGCGCATGAATTAGTAATTCGTGGGAACGAATTAGTAAGCGAACGAATTAGTAATTCGTTCCCACGAATTAGTAATTCGTTCCCACGAATTAGTAATTCGTTCCCACGAATTAGTAATTCGTTCCCACGAATTAGTAATTCGTTCGAACGAATTACTAATTCGTTCGAACGAATTACTAATTCATGCGAACGAATTAGCAATTCGTGCGAACGAGTTAGCAATTCGTGCGAACGAGTTAGTAATTCGTGCAAACGAATTAGTAATTCATGCGCATGAATTAGTAATTCGTGGGAACGAATTAGTAAGCGAACGAATTAGTAATTCGTTCCCACGAATTAGTAATTCGTTCGAACGAATTACTAATTCGTGCGAACGGATTAGTAATTCGTGCGAACGAATTAGTAATTCGTGCGAACGAATTACTAATTCGTGCGAACGAATAACTAATTCGTTCCCACGAATTACTAATTCGTTCCCACGAATTACTCATCTGTTCCCACAAATTAGTAATTCGTTCGAACTAATTACTAATTCGTGCGAACGAATAACTAATTCGTGCGAACGGATTAGTAATTCATGCGAACGAATAAGGAAATTCCAAAAAACAATTTTCACCCCGTCCCTTCCCAGGCTTCATAGGTTTGCAAATAAATTATATATAAATAAAAAAAGTGTGCATAGAATTATATATAAATAATTAGGTTGCAAATAACTTTTATATAAATAATTCTAGTTTGCCCAAAATTATATGAAAATAATTCTGTTGCAAAAACAATTATATATAAATAATGCAGTGGCAAATAAATTTATTTACATATAATGCAAACTGCCAAACAATTATTTACATATAATTGTCCGGAAAACTGAATTATATAATAAATAATGAATTATATATAAATAATTTTGTTAAATAATTTATTTACACATGGCGCCTCATATATACTTTCGGCACCCGACTACTATCCTATATGCAAAATTAATTTCATGGAAGCCAGAACCCCGACATTCTTAAACCCCTTAGCTTCAGCAAAAAAATAGCCAGGCGCCAGTGTGTTAAAAAGATGCAGAAATGTACGATAAAAATGTGCGACATCCGCGGAAATCTGCGCAGAAATGTGCGATAAAATGTGCAACATCGCAGAAATCTGCACAGAAATGTGTGATAAAATGTGCGACATCGCACATTTCTGCGCAGATTTCTGCGATAAAATGTGCAATGTCTGTGCAGATTTCTGCGATAAAGTGTGCGACCTCGTAGAAATGTGCGCAGAAATGTGCGATAATATGTGCGACATCGCAGAAATCTGCGCAGATTTCTGCGATAAAATGTGCGACATCGCAGAAATCTGCGCAGAAATGTGCGATAAAATGTGCAACAAAATGTGCGACATCGCAGAAATCTGCGCAGATTTCTGCGATAAAATGTGCGACATCGCAGAAATCTGCGCAGATTTCTGTGATGAAATGTGCGACATCGCAGAAATCTGCGCAGAAATGTGCGATAAAATGTGCAACAAAATGTGCGACATCGCAGAAATCTGCGCAGATTTCTGCGATAAAATGTGCGACATCGCAGAAATCTGCGCAGATTTCTGTGATGAAATGTGCGACATCGCAGATTTCTGCGCAGAAATCTTGATGTGTGATGTCCCTTCGGGGCCACCATAAAACACTGCTTTCTTAGCAGAAATGCAATACAATTGTTGACTGCTGTGATGTTGGAAATGGCATTTTTAACCTTCGTAGGGGGCATAGCACCCTCGGCTAGATGTGGGTGTTAAGAAAGCCATGTCCCATAGAGGTTGGCAATTGTTAATTGTTACACTCATTGCTAACTCAAAGCGTCTTTTATTTTTGAATACCGCCCACAGCTATGACCATCACGACCATGATCTATTTGCCAGCTATGCGTCTTGTTCGACGTGCTTTCATCCCTCGGAGCAATGTCAAATGGATGAAAACTACATTGGTTGCACATCAAATGAATGAAGAATCATCGTCTGTGCTATGTAAACAATACCATCAGAAAGTCAGCAATTATGAGCAGACTAATGAGATATCTACAGAACAGAAACATCTACAAAACAATGTTCCCTTTGCAAAAGCATTGCTGGGTTCATTTGTTCAAGTTCAGCCAAGTTTGGACAATGTTTTTAAAGAAGACTCTTCACTCAAGGATTACCTTCAGAAGCTTGTGCCTGAAGTGGTAAGCAGATGTACATATAACTCCCAGATCAACATTGATTTTTGAAGCAAAAGCCTTTTGAGTATGGTACATTTTTATATACCCTTGGACTAGTAAACTCATCTGTTAGGAACTAGCCTCCTGAAGTTGGTAGCATCATCAGTTATCTATTGCCTCATAATCCCTAACTCCCTACTGTCTTTTACTAAGTAGAGGACCAAGTCTGCCAAAATCCATCACTCACTCTGCTTCCAATACATGACATCATGGAATCCACCACTGACTACTGGTGGATTTTGATGGACTGAGTACACATGGCTTACATGTACAGGATGCTAGGCAAAATCAATCAGATTCCCCTAGCACTACTTTTAATAGGCCTCCAGGCCCAAGTCCATCATACTCCATCAATATATAGTCACACCAGGCCTGCAGGACCAAGGTCCCCCCCCCAAAAAAAAAATTAAAAAATGGGGAGTAATATTTTGATGGAGTTGGGAGGTTAGACTGTAAACTGTCACGATGACACTCGATTTTAGTTGAACTAGGCATCATTAACATGTTCAAATTAGTCCAGAGGTGCAAGGTATGTATGTATGTGTGCAACGCAAATCAACCATTAGTTGACTGATTATCGTTGATCAACTCTCACAACAAATTGTATCCACTTGTATTTTGTTATCTAAAAATGACTTTTTTTATGATTGAAAATTTTAGGTAAAAAGTGATGTATTTTGTGATAACAAATTAGTTTTTAGTGGAACTTTGAATAGGAAACCGAACCTATCTAAGTATGGTAATTAGACATGTTTTCAAACAAACAAATCGATAATAGGGAAACAATCTTGTTTAAGGTCAAGTGGTATTTTTCATTTCCATTTTTGCTTTTTTGTTGCCTTAATCAATTTTCTCACGATAGATCCTGAAGAAAATAACACCTGACTTGGAAGCTTTTGGCCATCGAGTGGCCCATGACATTGACAAGCTGGGGAGAGAATGTGAGCTGAATCCTCCAGTGCTACAGACATTTGATGCTTGGGGAAACCGCACCGACAAGTTGATAACTAGTAATGCCTGGAAACAACAGAAAGTGATTGCTGCTGAAGAAGGCATTGTAGCTATACCTTATGAGCAAGAATATGGCCCCTTCAGGTTTGCTGCTGTTTACTATTGTCATGGGGGTCAGGAAAGAGACTCTAGGAGCTGTATGCATACACAGTACTACATGTATGTGTATGCCTCTGCTAATGAGATGCCCACTAATAGCAAGATTGACTGTAATTATACAAAACTCTACACTAGTTTTTGCCTAATACCTTAGGAAAATTTAATGCTAAATATATGATTTATACCTTAGGAAAATTTAATGCTAAATATATGATTTGAGAAACACATTTGTTCATGCAATCCATATGTGCACTGTACAGTGGTTGAAACAATTGAATGAGCAGATAATATTGATTTTATTCTCAGTTTACAACATCAAGACCTATCAGATAAACCATTGATATGAGTTGGCATAATTGTGATCACGAATTAAAAAAAAAAAGAAGGAATAATTATTACAATGACTACTGTGAAGGGAATCAAAACTGAAATCAACTTTTGCAAGATATCTGCTGTTTAGAATCAAGGAGACAAATTAAAGCACCACGTATTTGATTGATTGCAGTCGTGTATACTGGGCAGCTAAGATGTTGATGTATAACCCATCCTCTGGCTTGTTCTCATGCCCTGTTGCAATGACTGATGGAGCAGCCAGGTTCTTTCAGGTAATGTCAGTTTTGTTGAATTTAGAGAGTTATCAGTTTCCAAACCCTATACATATTCATGACTGCAAGCTTGATTCTAATTGGTCCATTCACCATCCAGTGCCAACTCAACATGTTTGCTGTGTAGCAGCATTAACATGGGGATGTCACCCCATGGGGCAAACACATGCGCAATGGACAATTGCATCCATAACGATAGTACATGAACTCCATTCCTTACTGTAGCTGGCTCGCACAAACATTCTTGCTGCTTGACAGCACAGATACAGCAACATTTTGCTGAGCCGAGATGAAGTTTAGTACAACATAGATGCCTTGGCACTTGTCACCTGGGACAGCCGAGTTATAATCACCTACAGAGATTGTATTTGTCTTTACTTTCCCCCAGTATCAATTCATTTAGAACTGTATTTGTAATAATTACTTCTTTTTTTGCAAACAATTTCAATAAACACTAAAATTGTGAGAGTTTTGGGAATTTCTCATATTGCTGGTTAGCTTTACTTCTTAATGACTCTATAAGAGCATATTGTGTTGGGGGTAGTTTGGGGCAATATACAGTTAGAAAGGTGGAGCAGTTTGAGACTAATGGGTTTGATCGCTTTGACACAAGGCAACTTATGAAATCTTATTTTCAACTGAACTAAGCTCAATAAGGTAAAACAGTTGATCCCTAATTGCAATGGGTGGTTCAGCATTAAGTCTATGTTATTCATGATCGGCACCTCTGTGATCTAACATCTCTCCCAGCAATGCTGAATAACCATGTAATGGCCAGCCCAAAGCATCCGTCCTCGACATAAAATTAAAGTAAGTTTGTGTATTGATAATACTTATGAATTCCTTCAAGATACATCTTATACATGTCATATTGTCATGCCCTGTGGCATTGCATGCTAAGTACAAAATACACCTACATGTAGTTGACTGAGATGACAAAGATATTTCAGATCTTTTGAATCTGAAAATCATTCTAGAAAGAAACGCAGCTATCAGACCTTGTAGTAAATTGACAATCAAATCCCTTTTATATACTCACTGGTGTCTTGAGTCTTTCCATCAAATGTTGCTGTATTGCATTTTAGGATAATGGCAACAAGTATTCAGTGATTAAGGAGAGAGCTCTTCCTCACTTAACCTCCCGAAATGGAGCTGAGTTTTGGACTTCGGGGCAGTGGATGACTGAGAAACGGGGTGGATCTGATGTAGGTATGTGAACAATTCTCATTGTATTGATAACTTGCCCAGTACCACATAAGGCTATGCCAAACAGTTGAGTACATAATCATCCATTAAATATTGCAATAGCATTTTCAGAAAAGAATATTAAAAAAATGCATGTGGTCTTGAAAAGATGAAGATGTGTTTATTTTCATGATACAAGTTGTGTGCTTCACTTTTCACCAAATGCCACTTTTTTGCCAGTCACTTTTGGAGATGTACTTTTCTGATCCACTCCGGTTTCAGAGCCAAACCTCACAATGATATTTTATAACAACAAAGATCATTCCTAACAGATTCAACACGGGGGCGTGAATGCAAGCGACAAGACAATTGCATCTTTTAACACTTAACGGAGAACAAGCTACGGTTAAAACCTATTGTTTCCCCGGTTTTATTAGTTGACTGTTTATGCACTATTATACATACGTGGGATTTTTAAATGGCCTTTTTCCAAAAATCACTTTTACAGTCTTTGATCTGTGCATTAAAAAATACATTATGAACATGACTGTGTTGTTGCTATGGAATCAAGCAGTGAGAGATGTGTGGTTTGTTTGCATATGATATGTGGCAGGTGATGGAACTGAGACAGTGGCTGTGAAGCAGGATGATGGATCATTCAAGTTATATGGCCTGAAATGGTTCTCATCTGCTACAGACTCGGATATCACACTTACTCTTGCTCGCATTGTGGACAGCGATGGCAACTATTCCAAGGTAAGTTGCCAATTGAGGCTCCAATTGTTTCAACCCAACATATTTATTAAGAAGTTTATGTGAACTGCTCCTCAACAAAGGGTATTAAGTCGCGCTGTGCATTGTCGTTGATGTCTAAATGTTGAAAGGGTGAACATTTCGTCAAAATGTGATTTTGATCTTTATTACCTAAAGTTTCAGGGTTCATCCACAAAAATGTTGGTTTTGTGAATGAACTGGAGCACAATTTTGAGTGCATTGTGCCAAAATCTGCAACAGAGCCAACTATGTCAAAGCCTGTTTTCTCAGTTGTGTAATTTATATGCAAAGTAATTAATATGCAAATATGTCATATCTCCAGAATGAGTTGGGCTATGGAGCTCTATTATATACCAAATGAAAGCTTATGTCGTGGGCTTTCCAACCATGTATATAACTCATTTCCCTTTCTTGCGACATAAAACCTTTTTTGTAGAGCGGGTCACATATAGATACCCAAGAATGTTGTCAATCTTACACATGTACCGTAATTTTCGGAATATACATGTAAGCCGCGACTTATACGTTGATTTTGCCCATGAAAATGTTTACTGCGGCTTATACACAGGGCGGCTTATACGCCGAGCCTTGAAGAATAAAAATGAAATTCACATGTGTATTTAATGTACTGGTATACGAAGAGATATGTTGCTGAAATGAATTATCAATTAAGAAAGTCATAAACGAACCGAAACCACATGCCACGTAAAGGTGCCGAGCGGTAAAAAGTACGGTGAAAGCTGTCTTCGATCGACGCTTGCAACAAGCCGTACGTGATTCTAGTGCTTGCTGCAGCATGCTTTCCCCAGCGGACCACACCATTTGAGGAAATATAGGGGTGTACTATCTTGGAAACAATAATTACCAACATTTCCGCTGTTTAAAAAAAGAAAAAAGACGACTAACACTTTTTATGGTGTCCGAAACATTTCTTTATTCGATGATCAGTTGTTCAACGTCACAATATAATTTTTGTACTTGAAATGTATTCAAGAAACGATGTAAACCTCAAAACAGGGACTACATCACCCCTTACAAAATTAATGGATTCGTCCATGAAAATGGCAGCATCGTTTTGACTATTTTCGAAGAAAGTTACGATCGAAACTTGAATACTGCTCGTTAGTAATCACAAAAAATTGATAAGTTTTGAGATAAAAACGGACCTGTATATTTTTAGGACAAAACAAATCAGCATCTGTTGCCACATAGCAAGATTTGTACGTAGCGCTCCAGTCAGACAACACACGCAATGGGGGAAAATCACGGTGGGTTGCATACTCTCTCACGTGCTGCAGGAAAATGTTGTCATAGGCCGGCGCGGCGCAGGCTGCCACGCCGGGCGATGTATTAACTTTTACGGCCGGAGACCGGACGGGGCAGCCGGCAGCAATTCCCGGTGTTTATTTCTCATCATCAATTTCCACATTTGTTTGTGAGAGTATCGATTGTAAATGATTTGATACAACTTTTGTGGTCCTTTTTATAGCTTCTGTAGTGTAAATGGAACTGGTTCAGAGCATTTTGGCTAGAATTTGGGGGCCTTACAAAATTGAAACCGCTGCCGTCGGTGCGGCTTATACGCCGGTGCGGCTTATACGCCGATTCAAATCTTAATTTGCAGATTTTTGCGTGCTGCGGTAAATTACGGTATACCAAATGTGTTTTTTGTGTATATATACTCAGGGCACCAAAGGAATCTCTCTATTTTATGTGGAGACAAGGAACAAAGATGGTCAACTGAATGGAATTCAAATCCAGAAACTGAAGGATAAACTTGGTACACGACAGTTACCCACAGCAGAACTGCTTCTAGATGGAACAGTGGCACATTTGGTAAATATGAGCAACCTTGATACTTTATGGATATAACTTCCATGAGTGGGCGTGTCATTGCCTGCAAAGCCGGCATGTGTTTGGCCTAGCAGTGATACAGTTACTTGATACAACTGATTATTGCTTTGAAACATTTTGTTATTTATTAGAATGCGACACTAATAGTCCCATGTGTGAATACAGATTTCTGACGAGGGACGTGGTGTTGCTGCAATCAGCTCCATGCTTACTATAACTCGTATTCATAATGCACTCTCATCAGCTGCAATCATGAGGCGGTACGTATACGAGTGATTCATAAATGTTTCATACAGTGCATTGGTGTCCCTACATAAGAGGTTTCATAACTTTGGATTTACACTTCATAAAGCTGTATGTCATTCTGAGACTGTAATGTACAGTGGAACGTCGCTATAACGTACATTGTGGGATCCACAGAAATTGTTCGTAATAGCGATCATTTGGTATAGCGATTTTCACATTTTAGTGGCGCCCTCTTTTGATCATTGTTATTGTGTGTGTAGTTGCATTTACCAGCCACGCGCGGAGTCGACAAACGTATCCATTAATATTTTCAATTCCGTAGCAGAACTTCACCAAGTACGCCCTGGTAGTTGGTGAAAGACAACTTCGAACACATGCGACTATTGAATCATGTAATTACAATGTACACAGTTTTTGAGCTTACATGGGTGGCTTTTTCCTACTATTCGTTGGGGAAATAATAGCCATTTGTCGCTCTTTTGTTGACATTTCCAAAAACAATGTTCAGTATGTTTTGTACACAAAAATGGGGAGCCAAGGCTGATGTTCGGTATGGCCCAATGTTCGGTATAGCGGTGTTCGGTATAGCGATGTTCCACTGTACTTATAAAACTGAAAGAAACCCAGTCTGTCTCCCATGTTTACCCAAAATAGCTAACTGAATACAGTATACAAATAATGAATGTTTATGAGTACAATGGTAAGAATAGTTTCATGAGGTGACAGATAGAATTTTGCATTCCACGAATATGAAACATTCTTTATTTGTTTGACTATGCAATGGTACTTCTTTTTTTTGCGGTGTGGCAAGGGCCATGGGATAGGACGAATAATTCAATGACGTGATCAACGACCTAGCGAGTTGTATGATAACTTATAAGGTCATTGTAACTATGGCCTTTGAAAAGCAACTACATATAGTGAAACTGTATTTCAGTGTATCAGACTCATCATAATTACAGTTCAATATAAAATAGTTCAAAGTCAGTCCCTGTGACTTGTCTATAACTGCAGTGGAAATCTGCAGTATTTCATTAATAATTCTGATATATTATGTAGTTTGATCCTAAGATACAGTACAGGTAATGAAGTCATTGTTTTGTTGCAGAATGGTTCATTTGGCCAGAGATTACAGCCAGAAGAGATATGCCTTTGGCAAACTGATAGCCAATCATCCGTTACATATGCAAACGCTTTCTAGAATGGAGGTAATGTGTGTAGACATGTACAAAAGGGACTTTTACATACTTGCCTCAGTCCAAAATATTGAAAACAAAATTAAAAGATTTTTAAAATGTCATCATTGGAGCCATTTGGGTCAAATGAGTAAGGATGTGCTGGGGTGAAATGGAGAATTTAGCAGCTTTAATTCCCTTTGAGGTACCTCATTTTATAGCACGGCATCTCAACATAGCCTCTCTTAACCAAATCCTACTGTCTAGCTTCTTATACCGATGTCGTTTCTGTACAGAATGACAGGGGGTATTAGCGAGGTCCTAGCACTATCATCAGGTTGCTCTGGGTAGGCGGAACTTGCTAGCTTTGGTGGGCAGTTCGCCTAGGGTTGGACACCCTGTTTCCGTGCCCTGGCAACTGGCAGCAGTAGTAACTCTTGTTTATTTATTTATTGATTTCTTTGTCAGGTTGAGACAAGAGGTAATCTCCTACTGGTACTGCGTTTGTGCCACCTGCTAGGTTTAGAGGAATGCGGGGAGGCCACACAACAGGACAAGCAGCTGCTCCGTCTATTGACACCTGTAGCTAAATTGTACACTGCAAAACAGGTACCATGCCATAGTTTTGCAATTGCTAGCCCTATCAGTCTGACGGGGGACCATTGACAGGTCCCCATGTTGTCAACCTCCACTCCATGGACTGCGTGCGCGTTCCTTCTCTAACCCCTGGCCCTGTAGAATATAAAAACAATGCTGTATCTACGATATGGAGTCTAGAAGGCTCATATTTTGCAAAAAATACCTGTATCTTGTGTTGTAAAAGGGATTGCAGAGATACTCGAATTATAAATTTGAGCAATGTGACATAAAATCTCATCTTTTAAAGGATTGATTCTACAACAAAAAAAGTTCAATATCGAAAGCACCATGCATCAGGCGTTAAACACATCGACTGTAGTTCTAATTTAAATCTCCCAAATAGTTTGATATTTAAATTGCAAAATACCAGGGGTTAAGGTTGCACAAAGCATGGTGAAAACCAACATGGCGCATCAAGATCGTACCCATGGGAACGAGGTTGCCATGTTGTTGGACTTATCAAGAGGACTGTTAAGTGCTAGTCAACAAGGGCAGGATGGCCAAGGGCCAATCACAAGCACTCAGCAGCCTACTTCCATGCATGAGCCATGGGCCTCTGGCTAGATCTCTGAGACTTGCAGATAATATGTCAGTAATATTTGAACAGATAACATCACGCATATAACTTTTACTTAGCATTTGTAGCAGATAGTATTTGATGATGTTACTTCGCTGGTATATTGTATTTAGGCCATAGCCATTGCATCAGAAGGCTTGGAGAGCTTTGGTGGTCAAGGATATATTGAAGATACAGGCTTGCCAGTCTTCCTGAGAGATGCACAGGTAAGACATTCTTGATTGTGGAGTGGATTTGACTTCAGGCCCATCACAAGCAATCTGAGTGGGAGAGGTGGGGTGGGGCTTTGCCATTGTAGGGTTGTGCTACACTTTGTTTTTTACTCTTTCCTGCATTATTTACAAACACAAAAACCATTACAAACATGAGAAGCAACAAGCCACTGTACTAAATCCACCCACTCAGTCAGCTAGATTTTTCTTCAAGCAAATGCCAGGATCTTACATAGTTGGCAAGCTTGTCTCTTAACTGACCAGTGGTATTCCCAGGGGATTTGAATCTTTTAAGAAAACATCTTTGAAATGAAAATTGTTACTCTTCTCTTTTGTATTTTGAACCAGGCATACATTATTTTGACTCCACAGATGTCTAGACCCAAAAATTATTTTCCTGTTTATTGTTTTTTGTTTTTGTTGTTTTATATTTTGGTTGGGTTGTCTTTTTGTTTGTTTTTGTTGGGGGGATGGAATGTTTTTGGTTACCAGATGTTTTCATTCCTAGGTTGACATTTCTATTAACTCCTTAAAAACCAATATAATTATGGAGCCCAACAAAAATACTGAAATGTATCAGTGCGGATGTATCAGTTGTCTGCATGGTGATAGGTGTATTACCACAAGGACAGTCCTTTATATTATCCCAGTGGCCATCACCAGTTTTGCACATTTTGGAAGCTATTTTGGCCTTCAACTAAGCCATACTATTTATGGTCAGCATCTGTCCTTATATACAGATGTATTATGTGAGATGCTGCCAGCATGTTTAGGCTCCATAGGCTGGGGTTGACAGGGTTACCAAAGACATGATCTTGAGAAAAACCATGAGAACTATCAGCATAAATGATTGATTGATGGCTTTGAGTAATAACAAAACATACAAGGATGCTGCAGATCTGTTAGGAAGATACATGGAGGAAGATCACTTGAGCAAGTTTGTCATTAACAGGTAATCATGATAATACATGTTGAAAATTGTTTCCAGGTCCTGAGCATCTGGGAGGGAACTACCAACATTTTATCCCTAGATGTTCTTCGCTCCATAGCCAAGACCTCAGGAGGTAGCTTGACATCATTTTTTTGTGACATCCAGTCTCGACTTATCCCATTGGTAACATCAACCAATTCTGATATTAGATGGTGTTATGAAGAGATCAACAAAGCCTGCAAGGACATATCGTCATTTGCAGAATCAGCCAGTAAAGATGAGGTAAGCAGAAAATCTAGGGGGAGAAATATGAAGGATTCAAAATGTATAATGTGTGGAGCGATTTATAAGCACAAAGTGTTTTCAAAGTTGTCTCATAGTCCTACGTTATGGAGTCTGGCATCAACATTCCAGATGTAAAGATCAACTCTACAGATTAATGGACAACCTTCAATACAGTATGTTATTTGTTGACATGTATGATACTCATTACAAGACACCAGCCAATTGCGAATATTACAAATAAAAATGTGCCAATTTGTATGCACTGAGGCCATTGGCAGTGCGTAAGGGTTTTTGTGTTGATGTTGTTGCAAACATGTCAGTGGCCATGTCAATGCAAACATGTCAATTTGATACCAACGGAGATATCAGCATTGATGTATTATGTTTGAAACAAAAGTCCTTTGTTGTTAGGGCAGTGACCCTCAACATTTGTGTACACACAATGGTGAGAAAAGGGTTTTGTGGATTGGTGGTCTAGTGTAACATTGCAACATTAGCAGTGAAGAATTGATTGTTCAATAAGTTGAGATATTGTCATCAACAAATTGCCCTGTGAAACTGGTTGATCTCCTCCAGAAGTGGTCACACATCGTGTGAAAGTCAAACCTAATCAAAGTGATGTATGTTTTGTGTTTATGTGGTGTTAAATGTTTTCCATCATATGGTAACTGACCTGATTTATTGCAGACATTGATGACTGTAGCTGCACGTGACTTTGCTACTAGCCTGGCCAGGACCTATATTGCAAGCCTCCTGTTGGATCATGCAGCATGGGATCAGGCAAAGGAGCTGGACATTGCAGTAGCAAAAAGGTAAATCAGATTAATTGATTACATAATCACTGAAATGTCTTCTGCTAATTAGGTGTCATAATCCAAACAGGTAAAAGTTCCTATTTTCAAGTTTCTTAAAAACAAGATTCTTGAAAATGCTTATTGTTGATGAACCCTAACGTGGCACATCCCCTAACATGGGGCACTTGGATTTTATGCCTGTACCGCCTAGCTAGAGCAGAAGTTTCAACTGAAATTTCACAGAAAGTGACTTTTCATCAAGTTCTAAACACTCCCGTTGAGTTTAACTACACGTTACAAAGTTCGAAGAAATATTTATTTCAGCATGATTTTTCGATTTTATTTAAGAACACAGTGGAACTCTTTGAAAATGTCCCCTAAAAATAAGAAAATAATTTTTTGACAAGCTTCTAGTTGGGTATGCAAGTAGAGATAATGATGGTTTATCAGCATTTATCAACTTTACAGAAATTCGTAAAATGTTAATTTGGAATTTTCTGAGATTTATTCAAGTGCGCCACATTAGGGAACACTCGGCCGATTTTGTGCCCAATTCCCAGACACCACCATTTTTAAATTTTGGATTAATTTTCATGGCATCGAAATTGTACACAGAGGTTAACTAGCAAGCATTAATAAGGTCAAAGTACCAGTATTTTACTGAATGAATTTGAAGTTTGGCAACAAAGAAGTTTGGCAAGACTACACGAGGAAAGTCGGGGGAAACGTCGAAATGCGCCATGTTGGGGAACACCACTATATTATGTTGTACCATAAGTAAGGCCAAGTAGCTTAGTGTAGGGGGGGGGGGGGGGTGGTGGAAGATTGGGGGTTATCCCTCCAGCTACCCCTCCCTCCTTCCAGTACAATTTCAAATCAGGACCTGTGGGGGGGGGGGAGTGGTTCAGTCAGCTTTCTAAAGAGGGACTTGTCATCTGCAGCTTATCCAAGAGTACAATACATATCATAAACGTGCCCAACAGTTTACCACGGCATGCTGAACTGCACTGTGCAAGTGGTGTGCATACCTTATCTGAGGATGTCCAGTGTTCACACAATGTGAGTAATAAACAGGGAACTCATGGAATTTGGGGGATGGGGAGATGTGAACCTACACCCAAACCTCCACCTTAATAACCTGTCTAATTCAGCGGTGTGAAATCTCAGCTTTATAGCTGATTTCAGCTTTTTTTGTTTTGGAATTTAGCTATTTTCCCTCACTTACTGTGTACAAAAGTATAGGAGATTTCCAAAGTTCAGCTTTTTTTACACCTTTTTCAGCTGTGTTCAGCTATTTTCAGCTATTTTTGTCAGAGGTCACTCACACCCCTGCTAATTGTTGATTGTGGAATGTATGTCAAAGGTTTCCTAAAACAAAGCGAATTACTGTCTTGTTTTCTTTTGATACTTAGGTGGTGTGAGCAGTGTTTGTGTCCAGTGGTAACTAATAGCGTTAGTGGTGCGTACACACCAGAAGGATTGCATCATGATGCACATATTGTTATGGATGGTTACAGTACAAGCCAAATGTGAAAGGAAGCTGCGTCAATCTACTACATGTACATGTATATAATAGGAATATAGTCAAGACAGATGCAGATTGATGTCCAAAGTGTATGGACTTGATTTGTGATTGTATCTCCAGCAATGCCTTTACTAGGCAGTGCTAGGATATTACAGGATAAACATTTGGTATTCATTTCATTTGGAATCGATCGTTCTACTAGAGCTTTTTTTGTAAATTAATTAAGTATAATTAACGTTATCTTTAATTTTGTCTTCACATTTGCATTGGAATGTTACTGTTAATTTGCTCTACCGTTAAACGTGTTTAGTCAGCACTTCAAATTTGCTCTGACAGCAATGTCAATTTGTTGCTAAGCATCAGGACAAAAAGCAGAATATTGAAATTTAATCCAAATATCAACCTCACAAAGGTTCTGGGTGATATTTGATTATGACTAAAGATTTCATTTTTCTTTCATTTGTGGGTACAGAATGCTTAATAAGACCACATCAGAGACAATAATTGTACATGTATATATGTACATACTTTTATGAAATAACTGATATTTTTATAAACTTCATATAATTTTCTTCAGCAATGCATTTACAATAAGCAGGGCCATTTCTTGCTAAACTTATCAAGTCTGTAATTGGCCAGGGTTTGATTCAGTAGCAATAAATGCACCGAGTCACAGCTCAATATGGATGCTATACCACGTGTAGTAAACTTCTGGGGTTTTTTGTAGCCACATGTGCATAGCAAGCAGCATAGCATTCACATACAAATACAATTGTTTTCAGTGTACCCCAATAAAAAAATGATGAGTGTTCCTTGACTCAAAATTACTGACTTGAACAAAGTGATCTTCGCTTCTAAACAACCATGGAACTTGCTAGCATATTTGAGTACCGTTTCTTTGGTGCAGTAAGTTGTAAATACTCCCTAAACAACTCTGAACAGACATATACACGTAAAGGATTTGTAATTATACTTAAAGTTTTAGCTTTAATAAGTTTTGCTGGGCTGACTTGTTTCAACCCTTTAAGAATTGATATTAAGAGATCAGGAACCAGTCAACTTGAATTGTTTGTAGGCAAAAGCAAACCATAATGAACGTTTTTAGACGATTGCAGACAGCCAAAATAGATAAAGCAATTGTTTTTGTACAAATAAAAGCCCCAAAGGTCAAAATTTGAGAGAACAAAAATGGAATTTGTTGAAGAGCACAGACCCTAACTCTTGAATTATGTCTCCAAATCCATGAGTTCATTGAGTAGAACTATATCAATTTACTGTATTCGCCACATATGTTTTATAACCAGCCCTTTAAATGAGCTTTTACACCAATCTCATTCTATTGCCCTTCTTATGGGGTTCTAAGTGTCCTTACAAAAAAAAGAAGGGAATAGCACCATTTGCAGTCATCAGCCGACATTTGAAGCCAAAAAAAAAAAAAAAAAACAGGTAAAAAAAAAAAAAAAAAAAGCCGCGTCGCCGCACCACTTTTGGGGCAAGCTCCATACCAGAAACCGGAGACTTTTTTTTTGTTGGCCAAATCCACATTTGCCTGAAAAAAAGCCTCAAGGATTTGTTTTTTCATATTAGTAAAGGATGTTTTGATTTCGAAAATGCTGTAATTATATGAGTACTTTATACAGTGATTGTACATTTAATATAGTTGGTATATCATGTACTAAAGTGTTTTGTTCTTTAATCTGAAATCATTAAGTTTGTTTAATAAGTAAATTAATCAGTTTAATATTCTGTATCTGCCTGTTCGCTGCCACAAAACACCCTTTTAACAAGGTTCCTTTGTTTTGGCTCATTTTTTTGGGGTGGATAATAACATTGTATTTATCTACAAACCAGTTGACCCAAATATTTACAACTGTATTTGTCCTGACATAGCCTCAGCAAGTCCCAGTAATGAATACTGCGCTTGTCCAATTTTTTGACAATAATTTTATTTTTACAAATAACGTCGTAATAGATACTGGGCTCGTCCAATTTTTCGTCAATAAAACATTTTTTCTTACAAATAATATTGTGATGGAGAAATGGCTGATTTTAAACCTAGTAGTTTTATTTGCAAATAAATGTAAGTTAATGTCATGAACTACAAGCATCAACACATCAAGATGCCCTGCTACAGGGTCCGGGACATATGCCACCCCCCCCCCCCCCCCCTGGAAAATTTAAAATATACGATCATGATTTCACCGACATTCTAAGGCAAGTTCAAGAATACATTTATGAAGTTAGCATGCCATTATACACCACGGACTTTCAGCTGGATCCAGATGAGATATGAGGGTGAACCGGAAAAGTGACACAGTATGAGTTATGAGGGTGAAGCCTTGGCTGAAATTAGTTGGAAATATTACCCAAACCATACTAGCCAGTTTCTGTGAGCTCCACGGACTTTCAGCCATGGCGGGAAAAAAATGGGCAGTATGGCAGGCTGGCTGCCGGGAAATCAAAGCCTCTCACAGGAAATCACACAGAAGGAGAAAAAAAGCCACAGCAAAAATTACAAGAATATGTTGGGGAAAAAAACAGGGGAAAATTATTATAAATTTAAAATTAGCTTTGTGACAGAATGATCACTCACACGCAATAGGAAGGTATATAACACATGCATATACAACAGTACAACACCTTTCTTAACTCTTTCACATCGCCAAAAAGTACAAAAAATATGCACCAAATGGCGCCATTAAACCCTTGGCTGCAATTACATGTAGTTGGAAATATTACCCAAGCCATACTATATAGCCAGTTTCTGTTAGCTTCACGGACTTACAGCTGGATCCAGATGAGTTATGACGATGAACCCATGGCTGAAATTAGTTGCAAATATCACTCAATGTATACTAGCCATCATAACTCATCCGGGATCCAGCTGAAAGTCCGTTTCTGTTTCTGTTATCTCCACGGATTATTTGGTAAGAGATATATGGTTATCTGTTTGTCCATACTTATCTAGTATTCAAAGCTACCACTTAATAATAATAGGCCATGATATTGAATAAAAACATCTGTCATAGATTATAGATTGTCATCAAGTGTGTTGTTATGCAAGTATTTCTTTTATATGTCAGCGCCCTTGCTCAGATGACCTAACTGAGGCCGAGTTGGTTTGACCCTAACCCTTTCCCACAATGCATTGCTTCCAATGGAGATTTTTGTACAGGAAGTCATGAGAGTCAATAGGGATGAAACATTCCTAAAATGCAAGATTGGTATGATTATTATTAATTGAGGCATGTTGCATCACTATTGACTCACATGACTACCTGTACAAAAGTGTCCATTGGAAGCAATGCATTGTGGGAAGGGCGGATATCTTCTCTTGTCTTGGGCCGACTTGATGAGGAGGACAAGACTAGTGCTCTTTCCCATGATGCCAATGCACTTTCCGTAACATGAATCTATAGCGACAAAACATGCCTAAACTGAAAGACGGACATGAACTCTGTCAATTGAGGCATATTTGGTCGCTATAGATTCATGCTACTGAAAGCGCATAGGATTGTATTGGGAGGAGCAAGGCATCATGAGAAGAGCACTCTACCTCCTCTTGACTTGACCTGACCTGTGACCTGACGGGTTAGTTTGCAGACCGGCAGTGACGGGTACACAACTCATTTTTTCCAAGTCCTCTGATTCTGCCTCTCCGATTTGGTCTGTTCATTCTTTGGCTGTTGAAGTTGTTTTGATTTGATTCACAACCCTCTTATATATCGTGTTGGTTTTTGGTTTTTCCTTTATTTCATTGGCTTTAAAAAAAAATTGTAGGACTTTTCTAGTGAAGAACACTTTTTTTGCAATCTCATTTTTAGGACTTTTTTTTTTTGTAGGAACCTTGTATTTAGGAACATTTTCCTCTTTGACATTTGGATTAATAAAAACTTTTGGTGTTTTGGTTAGTTTTAGGATCGAGCTTTATTAAATATATTTTTTAAAGTTCATTTCCTTGGTTGAATTCCATTGTTTCTTTGTTTTGACACCATCCGTGAGTGTTCCTTTTCATACTTGCATTTTAGAGTAACTATAGGTTTCCCATTTTAGCTGCTTGTCGCAAGTCATTTTTTTTGTTTTAAAACCTCCAAGTTTAAGTTTATCTGGGTTTTTGTGAACTTATTTGGTTTCTTTTGATTCAAACTTCATTTGGCTGATACTTTGTCACATTTGGATTTGTTTTGGTTTTGTTGCCTTCAGATTCATTTTTAAAAAAAATGTGGGTTGTTTTGGTCGAAAATTTTATATTAGTTGTTTGTCTCTATTTATTTATTCTCCTTGCGATTTTTCCCTACTCAATCAATTTCAGGGTTTTTTTTAGCAAGCGAGTTCCCCAACTTTTTTTTGGGGGGGGGGGGGAGGGGTCGTTTTAGCTTGATTTATTCTAGTGTGCCACTTTTCCGGGCTACATAGACACCTTCAGGATCCGCCATGCATGTGGCTTCAACCCGTACCCTCGCTTTGTCAAAATAATACATTGTGTCTGTCGACAAAAACAAGTCTACCGCGCAAGAATCGGGCCGCACGACATTTTCCATGTTGAAAACATTACAGTAGAGTGCGCAAAATACAATGAACTTATAATAATGTTTAGCTTTGCGAGTTACTGCAGTAGTCTAGTGGAGGCTGCCCATTAGTAGGTCACGGGTGCGAATCCCACTGGGTGCGACAGGGTGTGATTTTGGCTTTTTGGTTGTTTTTTTCTCTCTTTCAAAAAAAATAAATTCCCAGTCATTTCAAACAATGCAACATTTTTCTTTTTCTCATCTGAAGTTTGGATGATTTTTTTAAAGGAAAAATAAAATCCGAGGACCCGACTTGCATGTGGTGTTAAAAAAAATTGCGGCAATTTTTTATTGAAGTTCCGCCCAAAAAATAGCAGCGGTCGCGTGGCGCGTGTACGATTCTGAGGCCTGGATAAATTGGCACTAGAGGGCGCACTGTACCGTACGCGGTACGGCCACTATAGTAGTACAGCACTAGCACTCTCCAACTCAACTCCGGTTGAGTGTGACAGCAGGACTTCTTGGAACATCTTTAAAAAAAAAAAAAAAAGCAGACAACAAAATGGACCAAGAGACAGCGATAAAGCCTTTCAATGTAATAAAGTGAGTATGGATTCATAGACCTGTGCGAGATAATTCCACTTAACCTTAACCTGCATGTGATGTGTGCTGCTTGCACTAGTCTCTGCTCAGTTCGAATTGAGCAATGAAAAATTGAGGGTAATCCTTAGCTGGAGTTACCCAGCCCTGAGTTTTATCATTGGGTTGTCTATAAGGGCTGGAGCGAATTTTTCTCGTAACTTGTAGTATTTGCAAAAATTTTTGGAAAATGTTCAATTTTGTCCCCGTTACACACTAATTGCAACTGCAACTCACCCCAAACTTGCCTGGAATAACCATTACACAGGTCCTTGAAGTAAAAAACGATCCACGATGAAGATTCAGCCTACAATTGCAGTGAAAACAGGAGGAATAACCGCTAACTTGACAACCTTGCTGGATTGGCCAGGACCGCAATTGGTTTGTGCACACAAAAATTGTGTACAATGAATGGCGGTCGATTAACAGGCACAGAGAGAGCGATCGCTGTCAACTACTCGTTTTGCCGGCTGCGCTGGCTGTTGGCGCATGACGTCACGCGGAAGCGTAACACCCGATGACTGTTTCATGCACTATTGGTTGCGGTTCCAGTACCAAAGCTGTGATGCGAGTGGTAAACCTCATATTAGTGCATGAAACAGCCATCGGGTGTTACGCTTCCGCGTGACGTCATGCGCCAACAGCCAGCGCAGCCGGCAAAACGAGTAGTTGACAGCGATTGCCTTCTCTGTGCCTGTTAATCGACCGCCATTCATTGTACACAATTTGTTTGTGCACAAACCAATTGCGGTCCTGGCCAATCCAGCAAGGTTGTCAAGTTAGCGGTTATTCCTCCTGTTTTCACTGCAATTGTAGGCTGAATCTTCATCGTGGATCGTTTTTTACTTCAAGGACCTGTGTAATGGTTATTCCAGGCAAGTTTGGGGTGAGTTGCAGTTGCAATTAGTGTGTAACGGGGACAAAATTGAACATTTTCCAAATTTTTTTGCAAATACTACAAGTTACGAGAAAAATTCGCTCCAGCCCTTATAGACAACCCAATGATAAAACTCAGGGCTGGGTAACTCCAGCTAGGTAATCCTTACTTTTAGGACACCTCTATTTTTTACGAGTTCTGTTCAAAACTGACTTTTGCAGATGTCTGTCCAGTACCAAAGTGACTTTTGCAGGCTAAAGCAGTCTTTAGAAGTCAAGAAGGTGTCATTGCCAATTGTTCAGATGTGCCAAGAAGTATCAGAATGTCAATTTTGAGTGTCATTTAGTCAACTGTTTTGGTGAGTCTTTCCCTTCCTATATAGGAACGGGGTCCTAAAAGTAAGGATTACCGCAATGAGCATGGAGGAAGAAAATTGAGGGTTCAGTCTTGACTTTGCACAGAGAAACCATCAGAACTGGCCGGCCCAGGTTGGGACGAATGACGTGCAGGTTATAATTTTTGTTTCGCTACCGGGCAGCAGACGTTCACATACCGTCCCTGAACTCCTTCGCATGTTCACAATGGAGGAGTCCAACCTGGGCTACATAAGAACCAGACAGTACTAGTTAGGCCTATGCGCCTATCAATTGTTTCCCCTCCCCCGCCCCCTGGGCTGCCCCACCCAATCCCCACCCCTTGGGCAAAATTTAAGTGACAATCCCTGACCATGCCCCGACATACATACGTGGGGCGCACTAGTGCATTTCCATGTTGCACGCCAATGGTAACACTAACAATGTAATTTGAGAGACCAAAATCCCCACCCTGGGGCATGAAAAATGTGACCAAATCCCGACATCGGACCTGGGGCTGCGCACATTGTCTAACTACGGTCTTGAACAGCTGCAGCCAGATGCTTTATACAAAGGTCATAGGCCACTTCCTTCACAAGATTCTGTGAAGCTCATTAGTCTGAGTATCCAAGCGTCCTGTTTGCAGGGCGGGGGTACGAGCGAATCCATCCACAAGTTGCGCACCCAACAGTGATGGAAGAAGAAGAAGAAGATACAGTACTTAAGAAAGAATGTTGGTAAATAATGTAGTATCCAGATGCCACTGCTTTGGTTGTATCTGTATCTGTTCATCCATGTTCAAACACCATCTTCTGGTTGTCGCATACGTTGGTCGGGTCGTGTGCAAGTCTCACATTAGGTTATGGGATGAGCTTTAGCATGGAGGTTTCTTATGTTGATGGCATCTATCCTATTTTTGAATGTGTTGACATCCGGTGCACATCTTATGTCAAGATCAAGGAGGTTCCATTCTGGGATTGTCCATACAAACTTTGCAGAGTTGAGTGTATTTTCAAAGTATTTTCTAACAAAATTGGAAATGTGTCTCAGTCTCAATGTTTCTCAGCAATATTTTGAAGGTTAAGTTACATTGTCATTAACATTTACATTCCTTACGACTGTGGGTAAATAGTGCTGTTTAAAAGGTCACAAATGGTCCCCCAAAAAATTCCACCTCCCCTGGCATACTTTTAATAAAGCAATAGGTCATGTAACACTGTGGCTTAATGCATGTTTCCATAGGAGGGGTTTAAGTAACTTGCATCGTAATAAACTAAAATTGTAACACAGTTTGATGCTTTTATTAGGTTTTATTTCTTGTTTGCCTATAGCCTAGCTTCAAATGATGAACTAGACCTGCAAGAAAATAGAGAATGCCAAAAGACAGTTGTAAGTATGTCTTGAGTTCAACTAAAGAACTATTAATGGAACATTTAATTTACATGCTGTACACGCGTACATTGGTAAACTAAAACTATATCTATAACTGTACATGTATTGTACGGTGTGTAATTTGCATCATGTGTACAGTAAGAAAACTGCTTGAAAGGAACCTATAATGCAGCTACGTGGCTACGTGTACATGTATACTGAACACAATATATGTGTATTCACAGCACCTCCAAAGCATTGAACGATATGCAGCAGCCCCCCCCCCCTTTTTTATTTTCAGTGGCCACTGAGTAATGTTGGTAACCCCCTCCCTATAATTCCTCAGTATGCTACTGCATGGAGCCTGACACAACTTGCAGTCAGAGAATCCATGCTGCAAGTAATGAAATGATGTTAGCAGCCCTCTAGGAACGGGCAAATGTCATGGAAATGATGATTTAATCAATATATTGCATTACTCAAGACAGTTTTATGCACCTTACAATAAAGTTGAATTGTGTGCTAGTTAAGTGTCATATTTCAATCTAATATCCCTTACTTGTTGATATCTTGACAGCGTAACCCTTTCTGCATGACACTGAAGACATTTCCTGTACACAAACATCCTCGCCTTGTACGTCAGCCGGGTATGTCATTCAAAACAAGGTAATATAACAGGATTTGCTTTGTGCATATTGTTAAAGGTGAATTACAACTCCAAATGTATTATTTCAAACGGTGTTACTTATATTACATGTGCATGTACATTTGCATGTTTCCAACAAGTCAATTTCTGCTGCCAAACCTAGCATAGAAGATGGTTAATCAAAACATGTGAGCAAATGTACCTTTTTTCAATATCCTGGCCTTTCACAAGAACAACTCTCTTAAATATAGATCAATCTGTCCGTGGTAAGGTGTTTTTCGTGTGATCCACCCAAACCTAATCTTGTGCCAATAAACCTGATAAATAATTTGGTCAACAAATAAGCCTGCAGTTTAGTAGTAACTCTCTGGAAGGAAACTAAATATTTTCACAAAGAATTTCACTTCTCAAGAAAATGAAAAAGTCTATTACCCCTAAGACAAGAGGAAAATTGATGAACATGTATAATGTACAGCTAGCTATCAGGAATGGGTTGAGTTCAGTTATTCAAATGCAAAGGCTTTGCTGTAGCTTGATCTCCACCAACCAGAAAAGATTCTCATCTTGGTACCCCAAACAGTGCCTTAACCTTATGCTTCATTTCTTGTCAATCTTTAGTTGTGAGATCATCTGCGATGAAGAGCTGTATTTCCTTCGAGGCACTGCAGTGTTTTTTTTGTAACAGACTGATCCAGTAAGCCATGTACACCGTAAGCAGTGACTTAGGTCTGACATGCGTACACAAAAATCCAACATATGTGCATTGGCATATGAGACACACAGGAACACACAGTGTGGCACTGGAGAGGAGTACATGTTCATTGCCATGTGTGCAGTGGGTGTGGCTTACTGGATCGGTCTGTTATGAAGAAGACACACTGCAGTGGAATACAGCTCTTCATCAGGGATGATCTCACAACTGAAGATAGACAAGAAATGAAGCATAAGGTAAAGGCACTGTATGGGGTACCAAGATGAACATATTTGCTGGTAGGTGAAGATCCAGCTACAGCCAAGCCTTTGCATTTTGTGATGAATAACTCAACTCAACCCACTCCAAATAGCTGATTTTCTATTTTCTCTACCGAGCTGGAACATGATATGCTGCTCCAAACGTCTGTGTTCCATATCAGTTCCTGTAGCATGTGGGACGCAGACACTCAAGTGGTCAATGGTATGACTTGACGTGGAGAAGTGTTGCTCCACCGCTAAGCCAGGGGTGTGTAGATGCTTTGGAGGTGCTCTGTGAATCTGTCAGCCAATCTCCACTTCGTCTGGCCGATAAGGTTTTATCAGGTGCAGGTGATACCATGCAAGCTGCAACACCTGCTGCCACGTGGATCCCTCCATCTCCCATGCAATTGGTTATAAGGGCTGTTACTTCAGCCAATGTCGTATACTTGTATCAACAGCAACCAATGTGGCCCTATACATCAACGAGAGGAAGCGACGATTAGCTGATTCACCGAGCACCTCAGAAGCATCAGGCAATGCACCCATGACTGGTGATGCAACACTTCTCCACTTCAAGCCACACCATTGAAGACATGAGTGTCTGCACCGTGGTTGCCACGGGAACTGACGTGGAGCACAAATGCACGGAGTAGTGTATCCTCTGTCTGTCTCCGCGCAGTGTCAACGTGGAATGTACTGCATTCCATCTGCCTGATGTGGCAGTTGCTACCCAGCCCCGAAGAAGACCAGACCGTCCAAAACTTTGGCTAAATGTAAAAAAAATATTTTAACATGGTTTTGCAATCCAAATTATTAGTACATTGATTAGCTCTCCTGGCTGATTGGAGGAGAGCAATTTGAGGTTCTCCCGGATTGTTCAAAAATACTGTAGGCAGCATTAAACAAGATGCTTTTTTTTTTGCAGGAGCGGTGGTAGTACGTTTAATCCAATTCCCACATTAGAGTTTCTACGTGGCACACTACAACATCTCATCAACAAGGATATACAAAAAGTATTTCAGCAATATGCCCCGTTCTTCCAAATGGCAGTGGAGAATATCCAGGACAATAATGGAAAGGATTCAGTAACTGAAGACCATGTCTTGTCTGTCTTCAGGAATAGTCTCGAAGAAGTATGTATCATGGGGCAACTTTTACAGTGCAATACAATATTACGCAATACAGTGCAATACAATATTACGCAATACAGTGCAATACTATACAATACAATACAATTCAATAAAAAATTATCCCAACAAGGGGAAATTCTATTTGGCTTTTTACGTACAAATTTGTACAAACATTAAAATAAACATCAATGGGCATTTCCATAGCAAGTCGTGGTAGGTTTAAAGGGGGTCTTCTGTCATCTCTTTGCTGTTCTCTAAAGTCAAAGCATTTAGGGTGGATTCTTCTAACAGAAGATCCTTTGAAGTCAAGTGGCTAATTTACAAAAAAGAGGCCTACAAATGTTTTGGTTTGGTAATTTCCATTATATCGGTAACTCATATTACAAAAAAGCACATGGCATAGCGTTTAAATACCTTGCATAATTTGCTACCTTAACAATTGTTGTAAAGGCGGTTACATAAGCACAAACCCTGTGTGCAGTGGGTGGCACCTATCCAGCATATTTAATTGGGTGTTATTGCCCAGCTGAGAATTAAATATAAATGTGAAATACTGAAAGAAATGAAGCTGATGAAAACTGCATACCAAAACAAATGTACTGAAATCCAATCATTCAGGAGTCTGACCTGATCTTTGATCCTATCTTAATCCTTTTTCATAGGGCTGCTTGGATCAAAACATCAGGTCTTCTCCCGAGTCTTTTTGTTATTGTTGTTTAAATAAAAACAATTTAAGTTTGATTGGCTTGGAATCAGGTTAGCCTCAAACCAAGTAGAAATGACACAGTTATAAAAAACAAAAAAACACCCCTTAATAATCTGATCTCAGTCTTTGGTATTTATGATGAATTTACAAAGAGCCACAGACAATGAGTATCTCTAATACATAGATGTTAATTTGTTTGCATACTTGTGTACATGAGTCCTATTTTTCTGTTGGTAGGCAAAAGGCATATTTCAGCCACAAGGGAAATGTGCGGTTGAGACTGATCACAGTGCTGAGTACAATGGTATAAGCAATGTTGGTAACATGGTCAACTTCAAGTCCAAGGCTGCCAGCTGGCCAGATGATGAACCAGTAGCAAAGGTTAGATTGGACAATCAATCAAGTACTCTGAAAAGCCAGATGGTTTTTTTCGAGTCTTTAATTTCATTGATTAATTTTGAATATTACAATTAAAAGGAAGGTACAACAATTGCAAACATCAAAAAACAAAATGGTCAAATTATCCCGAAATTATTTACTGGACTGTTAGTGCATGATAGTAAAAAAATCCTGTAAAATCATGGCTCCTGGTGTGCTGACATTTTTAAGTAAAGTGATATATTTGTATCAATTTCCAACGCTGGTCGGCCAATCAGCGTTGGAGAAAACTTTTTTTTTCAATACTGCTCCTAATTGTTCATTTTTAGTTATTTCACATTTTGTTTCCTATTGATTACACACCTATGAAGGAGCACAAGCCCGCTAGACTGGTTTCCTGACCTTACAATTCCCCAAAGTCTATAAATTGCTCTGTTTCATTTAAGTAGGGTCATGATACAATACTATAAGAACATGATTGTTTTTCTTGGTTTTTCCAGCATCTACGAACACAAAACGTGAAACAAGTCGGTGTAACAATATTTGCTATAACATATTATTCATCCATTTATTTCTGAAAATTACAGCAAAAGCAAACGTTGTTCATTCCCTTTGCGGAAGGCAAAGAAAGTACCACTATGCAAACCTGATCCTTAACAATTCTAATGAATCTCTTCCACAGTGATAGATTCAAATCATTGACAATGTCTAATCTCTTCTGGGCACAGAATTTATGAATGAACTTAAAAATTATTGGTGTTGTGTAGATTGAATTCTTGTGGAAATCATGTGAATATTTGTCATTCTTACAGTATGCTAAACATGAGGATGATAATGGAGAGGCACCTACCTTCTCTCTCAGACCTACCCCACAGATACAGACGCGAAAGGTTTGTCAACATTATGTTTCAATGTATTTTACCTTGAACACTTCACATGAGAGTGCTGAAGTCAGCCTGTACTTGCACTTTTCCTTTTCTGTAAAATGCTGCATCTGAACCGCCAAACAAAACGAAATTTGCAGAACCTCTCAACCAAACTGAATCAAACTGACGTCACTTGTTCAGTTAGCGTTAGACAATGTACATTTTAGTGCTGCATGTTTCAATTTGCTCAACCAAATTCATCAAGACGTGCACCAAAAAATTATCCAAAGACTCCTTCTAATTAAAAGAAAAACTGTGTTTAAGGCTAACAATACTGACTTGTCATGTAATAGTCATTGAAGGATAACAAACGACACAAGTCATGCCATGGGGTATTATTGTGCTAATATTACATCAGTGAGAAAAATGCCAATATTTAAGTACATTTGTTTTATTATTTATTTTGTTCATGCAACCTTACAGATGTTTCATGACATTTTAAAGGAATTTATGTTCCTTGGGCATCTTAGCACCTTGAGATTGACTGTTTCTTCCTGATAATGATGCTGTGTGGTTTAAATTCTTTTGTTTCCTTGTTTGTATTTGCTTATACACAAATTTTTCAGCGGAAAGGCCGGCCACCATTGCATCATAGAGATTACACAGATGAGATGCCACTGACTGGTGGCGGTGGTGGTTATAAGGCCGCCAAACCAAAGGTAGAAATTGTCAAGAAAGAGGGACCAAAATGGGACCCAGCTCGACTTATGAAGAATACCAAGTTTGTTATGGGGGCACGTGCTAACAAGTGAGTACTGACTATTGTAAAGGGCCCACATTGGTTATCTGACCCACAGAGCCCACTGTCTGAGTATTATATCTTTCTAATTTTCGAGCAACTCCTCACAAATTTTTGATTTTAAAAATACAGGCAATCCACTTTTGACAGCAATGTTAACCTTCTTAGTTAACTTATTTCAATTGTTTCTTCACATAGTAGTAAAGAATAGCCCTTGGGTGAAAAAAGCACAGTAAAAGTCGCCAGAATAGTAAAATTATGCTAATTTGAATACACATTTGAAAATCAGTCCTGCCCATGTGTTATTCCATATAAATTGGACGTTTTTGCAGTTCACAGAAAAATAGAATCCTTGCCAACAAAATGTTTTGACCTGGTAACTTTTATTGAGGCTGTCCGATTATTCATGTCAGCTGTAGGCCTAAGTTCATAGTTGCATAACATTACATAATAATCAAGAACAAGAGGTAGAACTAACAATCCTTGTTTGAAGTGTGCTAATATTTTGGCTTCAAATCAAGCTCCAATAGCTGAGCTCAGTCAAGCTGATGGAATGTATACTGGTTTCTTACATGAAATGTTCAAACTACCATAGCTTGGAGACAGAATATGCAATTGCAACGATTGTTTCATCACTTATGCTTAAAGGCCAGTACTTTAATAGCTTTTAATAACAAGTTTAAAATCAGTTTTAAAAATAGGTGAAAATTGCTGTCAGAAGTGGATTTCCTTATTTTGAACCACTCTCCACAATGTATGTGCAATCTCAGGTAAAACAACACCAATGCTGTTGATTGGTTGATAGCGGTCAGGTGACCCTTGATACTTTACTTGACATTGTGGCCTCTTATTGATAGATGTTGGATACTTCAACACAGGAAGGTATTTTTGTCAGTGCTTTACTCCCAAACACGTCAATTTCAGCACTACACAAATTGCCAAATAGGCATGCATAGTATATACAATTCATAAATACCTAAGACAGTTTACCCGTTCCCATTGGTCAAGAGCCCGTCACGTGGCCGGTCTTAAACGGATGATAAAGACATGGCTGGCTTGTCTTAGACACTTTTCCAGTGTCACATGAAACTTGGACTCCTATGAAATCCAGTGCCTTTTACCGTTTTATTGGTTGAATGTTCACAATCCTCACGTAGGCATGCGCAATACTACCAGTGAGTCGGTATTTCATAGTCCTAAATTCACAACGCAGTCACCACAGCTGCATCTGTGCGTCATCCACAGTACGCGCGCACCAATCTCCATTAAAGGAGTTGTTTACGTCTAACTTGTGAGCTGGACACTCCATTATATAGCTAGAGGTGTGTTTCGAAAAACAAAAAGTAAAATTGTTGAACAAAATCATTGGATATTTTTATTTTGACATGTTTTGACTTTTGGACTCAGAGGTTTTGATTTTTTGACTGAAAAGATAAATATGTTCTTGGTCGGTATTAAGCACTATGTTTAACACCTTCCAAGCACACATTTATTCCATAGACTACCTTGTTAGTAGTTTCTTATTATAATTTCATTTCAGTATCAATAAGCATGTTACATATGGATGCTCATATTAAAGCTGTTTTGCTCTGGTTAGTGTTAATTTGATAGTCACAAGTCTCAGTCGGCAATTCATGTTATAAACAAAGGCTCTCAATGGGAATTTTCCAATGAAACGTTCCAGTTAAACAAAAAAATGTGTGATGATTGCAGAGTAGGTCATTGTGTGTTTGTCTTTGCTGAAAAAAAAATAATGACTTGATGACGACCATATCTTGATATGGCCTCATTTGTTCTCATCTTTTAAATATCCCTACAGAGCTCTTGGACTTGGAAACACAAGAGGAAGGCTCTACATCAAACACCCAGACCTCTTCAAAGTAAGACAAATGAAATGATGGACTGATCTATGAAACAGCAAACCAACTCACTGACTCACTAACTGACAGAACACTGACAAATAAATGGACACTGTAACCTCAAGACAAACTGAAACTGCAGGCTTTTTGTGTTAACAGAAGTAGCTCTGTTGATAACAAAATGTTTGATTATATTTTATATGAACTGTGCTTAACATTCTATTGACAAAGCTTTTATTTGTGGGTGGTCTGACCATACTGCTCAGAATGATAGCTGTATAAACAAGTAGTAAGAGAAGTAATTAACACATGATTAAAAAATGTTAAAGGTATTGGATGATGTTAATATGTAAACAAGTTATGGAAAATAAAACACATGTAAACAGTTTGGAGGTGATAGTGTTCTTGACCCAACCAGGAATGAGATAGCCACTGCAAGGGTGTGGTTCGCCTGTGAATAAATTTGGCTACTTTACACATAAGCAAATAATCTATTAGATCGACATGTCTCATCTAGGCAATACCTACACTCCACTTTATGACTACTAATGCAAAGGGTGTCGACCCTATAATAGTAATATCATCTTTTTATAGTGATATAAACCAGTTCAACACTCAACACACTAAGAAGAAAGTGGTCCTACTTACTTGCACAAACTTGGTTCCACTTCTCTCATTGTTATCCTCACATTCTTCTCATTTTTTTTGTTATAACTTTTTAACTACGTAAAATGTATATTTTGGTACTTTTGTTAATTCTACAGAAGTTTCATTTCACTTTTGTTAATTTCTTCTTAACCAATGTCAATTAAAGACATTCATTAATTTATAGAGTATACATGTTCATATAATATGAATAATTCCGTGCAATTGTTCTTTTGTTCTTGGCAATAGTATTCTGGAGATCAAGATGACAAGCAGTGGTTATATGAACATCATCTTATGCCAGCTACTGGAGGGAAGGCCTACATGTTGCTACTAGAAGATATCAGGGAGTTGGCTAACACAGAAGAATATAGGTATAGGATTTATACAATTTTACCAAGTTTATCCAACATGAAGTTTGGCTGTACAGGGTGAGTAAAAATGCTTTTGTCTCCCACAAAAACAGAAAAGGTTACCAGTTTTTCTCTTCAGCCAACATTGATCTGGGTATTGACCACAGTCAGTACAAGTTCCACTGATATTCAGCCATGCATGAAAAGGATACAGGCCTTTCCCGATGACTACCCCATAACACCACCAACACAATGTTTCCTAATATTTTTAAGGGGGTATTTAACGTTATTTATTGGCGCAAACAAGAACCTGAACAAGGGGTGCCAAAATCTCCAGATCTTCTCCCCCTTTGATTTTTTTCTTTGGGGGTACCTTAAGGACCGGGTGTACCGCATTGTGCCAAACACCCTGCAGGAACTTTGCCAACAAATTACTGTTGAAATACAAGCCCTCCGAAGATCACAGATGGTCCGCTGAGCTATTGCAGACATGAGGACACGGACACAACTACATTGTATGCATTGATCTGAATGACAGACACGTGGAAGGAAGGTCGAGCAGGAGGACAGTGAAAATGTGAACCTTGTCTGCCATTCAGTTTCAAGTTCAATAAATGTAATTTCATTAAATTGACGTCCTGTTCGGTAAATACCATTTATTTTCTTCATTGTACTAATGCCTATTGTTGCCATTGTGTTCATAGCAAAAGGCCCATTCTGAACATTGTGTTTGTAGTGTTTTGGTAGTGTTTTGGGGTGGTCACAAAGAAAGGCCTGTATTCTTTCATGCATGGCTGAATATCAGTGAAACTTGTACTGACTGTGGTCAATACCCAGACCGAATGTTGACTGAAGCGATAAACTGGTAACCTTTCCCATTTTTGTGGGAGACAAAACAAAATATCCAAAGGGACATTTTGTTTTACTCACCCTGTATGGTTCAAATGAGAGGGTTTGGAGTTTTTTCCACTGAGGCTGTTTTTTTTCCAAAAAGGAGGCTTGCTCATTTATAAATTTGAAGGGAATGTTACCTAAATCTGATTTTTTTTTTTTAGTGGATCTGAAAATCTGAATTATTTCTATTGGTCACCCGATCCTATTATGTCTGAAATATTATTATTTATGTATTTATTTATTTATATACTATTTGTTTTGGTTGTATTGAAGGGATAACCATTTGTTGGCCGTGACAGAGCTGAAGGAGTTTGAGGTACCAGAATATATCCTGGACAAAATCAAACATTACATGGAGGTCAACAGAACTGATGGTGATTTGTTATCATTGACAGCTGACATCAATGAATAGCAGTCTCAGTAGCTTTGCTATGTATTATATCATTGATTGTACAGCAGCTTTTGGGTTATTTCATTTGTTTATATATGTACATTTATTTAACTGTACCAACTGTGTGTATAGATAAAATACATAAATACACATGTTTAGAGGGCATGATGTATTATACAAATAATGAATGCAATGGCAAGAATAATTTCACGAGGTAATGAGGCAAAGCTGAGTGGAATGGAACAGCCATCTGTCACCGAATGAAATTATTGTTTCCATTGAACGAATGTGAAACATTCATTATTTGTTTTATACAATTCCTAAAAAAATCCTCCTCATCTGATTGGTAATAGTGCGACTGTGGAATGGAAATTCTATTTTTGCGGTGCAGCTGGACCATGTGATAGGACGAATATCTCAGAAAGAATGTTGCTACCTGACGCCACTTCAGCGGTTGTGTACAGTTTATGGAGAGTTAAGAGCATTTTCTAAGTATTTCCTTACAAAATTAGAAATGTTTCTCAGTCCCAGATTCATGTCTTATCGTCATTTTTGCAATGACTGACCTTCATCGAGATGATATATGAAGAAAAAAGCAGCGTCGGGTTGCAACATTCTTTCCAAAATTTCAACAACACGTGATCAACAACCCATTAAACAGATGACAGGGATTTATTCAGGCGTTGTATTATGACATATAACTATGGACAAAATATTCATTGTGCTACTTTGTGACCATCAGTATGTGATAGGATATGATCTTCCAGCAAAAGCAGTGATATACGTTATTGTTCATGCATATTCATAGCCAATTATTTACGTTTTTAATGGCTACAACAAATATTCCTCCAACCGGATTTTTTTTTAAAAAGACTGACAAATTGGTGTGTGGACCTCACTGTAACTTTTAGCACCAGCATTTCTGAAATCCAACTCTTAAAGAACAGGGTCATATTTCACTTGTTTTTGCGAGTTAATTATTTTTGTTGGCACGTTTTAAAATAATCTTGCTGATGCATATTTGCGTGCATGTGTTGTATATACACTGTATGTATTTCCATAATTATGTAACAGATCATGCTAGTTTAATAGATTGTAAAATAAAGATGAAGATTGGAATTTAACATGTTTACAAGTAGCATTGATCATCAGTTTGAAAGAAGATTTGAAGTTTGACCCCCCCCCCCACCACCCCGGTTCTGCAGCCCCTGCTTTCTGCGTGCTTTTAGTCTTATTTCTGGCAACACATTTTCAAAAAGACCTCAAAATTCGCATTGTTGGAAATGGTTGTCTGTAGTACGTTTGTGTGCTTAGTCTATGGGAGAGTGTTATATTACAGGGACAAAGGGAAACACAAAGCATTGTCCTCGAGAGTATAGTAAAACAAGAGTACTTGTCTGTGTGTGTGTTGTTTTGGTTAGGTTAACTCTTGTCAGCACGATAACTTGAGAAATACTTTACTTAGGAACTTGAAATTTGGTTTGTGGGTTGTTCTTGGAAATCTTAAGAAGCCTATGCTTTTGGGGTCAAAGGTCAAGGTCACTATTGATAAAACAATAGAAATCTTCTATTTTGGTTGGGACACTGACAAGTATCCATACTAACTGACTTTTATATAAACTGCCAGCATGCCAGGGGGATGGCAGGAGTCTTTTTTAAACTTTGAAAAGCACCACCTATTGTCCGATGGTGCCCATGATCATCCGCTTTTAACAATGCCTCCATAGAAAGATGTCTCCCCCCCCCCCCCAGCAATCCAAATGACCTTGCTATGCCTCTGAGGTCCCAAGGAAAATGGAAACATCGTCCTGTTCCGTATTGGGGAAAAAATGTTGGCAATTTTATGTTAAAAAGTCATTTGCTAACTTTTACATTTGCATTGACTGCTATCATTATGTGTTACGACATTTAAATGTACATGACTACTTTGGTTTATATTTTAGCATACTTTATTTCACATCTCTATATACATGATGTACATCAAACATCAAGTAGATTACACAATGCTTAAAACAAAAAATTCAGGTGTAGAGGCCATTATGATCCGAATTATCCAGAGGGAGGCTGTCGGGTTATTCTCTAAAGTTTGTTTGAACACATCTTTTAAAATGTCTCTGTGAATCCTAACAAAAACACCACAGGTGACAAGGGGCAGGAGGAATGGGGGCATTAACCCAGCTCCACCTGACATTTGGAAATAGTTTTATTTTCCCTCCCTCTTTTGTAATGCCTGGGTAAAGAGATATATATGTACTCTGACCCTCCAAATTCTGAAACATTGTCGCAATGGGAAAAACAAATTATATCCAAGGTTAACACAGGTTTTTCTTTTGGTTCTTTCTCTTTTTCTTTCAATTTCAAAGGACCATCAAAAATACATTTTATAGACCTAAGTCATAAGTTACTTTAAAAGCTGGGAACACTGGGATTTTATGTTGCTTTTAGACTACAGTTATGCCAGGTATTTCACATAAATACTGATATGCAGTGTGAGCACTTGAGATTTTTTTGCCATGACAAGGAACAGGTGTTGAAGACATTTTGGTGGGATTTTGAGAGAAGCAAGCAAGGGCCAACACCGCTAGCCTCATTTCCATGCAGCATCTGTGGACGAGTGTATGCTTCTCGCACTGGACTTTATCCTCATATGAAGACCCACCAAAGCAACCCTACTGAATCCAACAAGAACAGTAAAAGTTTTCCGCTAGATTTTGTTAACCTGAGAAGTGAATAACAGATCTTTTTCTCCAGCTGTTGGATCCTGTTAGGTTCTGTAGAACTCTTTATAAGCCAGTCACAGTAGGGTAAGGGTTGAATAACAGGTTGACTAACAGCACCTTTATGACAGAGCTAGTACAATAAAAAATCAAGTCAAAGTGACCATGGTATAATCAATAAGAGATTTTTTTAAAAATAAACTTGGCCACATCACAAATTAAACTTATGAAACGTCCAAATGCAATCTGCACGGCTACATGATAGGTCATAAATGCCTATGTGGTAACTGTTTTTGCTGAAGAATTGACTGAAGAAGAATGCCTGGAAAAAAGAAGAAAGAAACTGACGATAAGAGTGCAGATGATAGAGTATCCAATCACTATTACTATTACAAATCAAGTACAGTAAAGCAAATTTGATTTCAATATCTAGGAAAAAAAACAGTTGTAACAGAAACTGTTTAATCATGTGGGTTCACCAATAGCGAGGCACACAAAGAAAATGGAATTTACAAACTTCAATAAGGCAATGCAAGTCAGTTTCTTGTGTACATATACATGGGCACTGGAGAAACTCAAAGAATTGTATGTAACTGTGTGAGTTACTTTCATAAAAAGATGGAATTGCTTATATAACAAATATGGGAACAAGTGTTTGTTTCCCCAAGTTTGTAAGAAAAGGTTTCTTCTACATACCTGTTGCAACGGAGACATTGAGTGAATCAATGCTTGTATGTAGCTCCCTTCCAGCTGGTATGGTCAATAGCTGACAGCATGCATTCTGAATACTGTCTGGTAAACCACTGCCCTCTCCTCCTGCAATAGGATGATTAGGCAAGCATCAAGTGCACTATCACCCCCCTTGCCCACAGTCAGGCTGGGCAATTGCACACATTCATGACAACATCGGAATTACCATAATATGGATTCACATGGCCAAGAGAACTCATGTGAACAATATAATTTCTAGAATGTCTCATATTACATATTTATAACCTTCAAACTGAAAAGTTATTATTCAATCGGACACCTGTGTCAAACTTTAAAGAGATTAAAGAGATAATAGCTGCCTGCTACATACCAATAACTACAACAGTAGGTTTACTGAGTTTGAAGCTTGCAGCAGAAGACACATTCAAGGTATGTGTCCAATTATTGAAGGCACAAGTAGAACCAACAATCTCCCATCCAATGTCTCTCTGTTTCTAATACAATAAGGAGTAAATTCATGTTAATGAAAGAAAATACTTGCATTCAAATTTGAAAAAAGTGTTCATATGTAACCCATGAACCTAAAGACAAGCATAGCATTTGGAGAAAACTTCCAAACTTGTTAGTACTTTGCTCAGTTTTTACTGTCACCTTTGAAAGTCTTGAATGTATCAACATAATTGCTATCTACTATTAAAATGAGTCATAAAGTGTTGTGTTAATGAGCGCGCTACTGTCATGTACAAGAGTACATGTACATGTACATACACTGTTTGCAGCATTCATGTATCCATGTAGTTGGATCTCAAACCTTGGGTGTGATGAGCATGCACTTTTCATAACAAATTCTCAATGCTGAATTGATCTCTCACAAAATTTCTTTCAAAGAAGGAACCACCATTTTGAAGGTAAGAATTATATGATGATTTCATTCAAATAGTATTACAAAGAAGTCTGAATAAATGAAGGTTTTTTCAGGTATGAGGTGACAGCATTCACTGTTACAGGTCTACACGACACCACTGCATCGACCAATCACAGACCAGCACATTACAAGCTTGTCTCTGGTTTTGTTTTATTAAATTTGCTGAAGCTACAGGCCTGTACCTTACTATTTCTTTCAATATAAATTTCAGTGCTTTCTTTGAATATCATGTTCTAGCCACCAAATAATTTGACATGTGCATGAGTGTAACATCATCTCATTAAACGCCTCCCAATCATGACCAATGGATAATTAATCTACTGGTTCTAATGTCAGCTAGTGTGATATTGTTCAAAATGTAATTACCATGATAAATGTCAGTAAACTGCTTGTTGAGTAGACTGGCATGATTTCCATGGCTCCACTACTAGCCTTACTCACAACAGGAGTCAATGAACAACTGATAAGAAATAAAGCCATCTGATTAGTTTCTTGAACTAAACAGTCAGGCAAAAGTACCCGTCACATTTTTTTTTAACTATGCAAGAACAAAGGTTGTATTTTTCTTTTAGGAATCCAGACACAAAATATGGCAAATGCATTGGGATTTATTATTTATAATTAATTTGCAATATTTCTCTACATTCCCTTCTTCCCAACATTCTGGAGTGTACCAATGTCCTGAGAGGTAAGCAAACCCCACAAAGCAACCATTGAAAAAACCCCAAATATCAACAGATCGGCTTCATACATGACTTAATTACAGAATCACAACAAAGGAAATAATGATGTCTTTCTTACCAACTGTGCTTGCTTGCTATGATTCTATCCACACCCAGATAGTAAGCTGACCTTATTATTGCTCCCATATTCATAGGATCCTGAAATATATCAGAAATATTGCTAAGATGCTCCATTATATGAATAAAAAACACCCAGTAACGGATAAATAGTGGTCAAGTTAATAGTGTTTTGTCTGTACTTTTAGGGCTGTGCAACCCTGTTATTTATAGCATTTTGATACCTGTGAGCCTTGTAAGCTCAAACAACCAAATCAACTGGAGACAGGTGTTAATGTGTATAACCTGCAATGGAATCTGTGCACAAGTACCTCCTCACATGGCTACAAGGAGACAGTTGGAGACAACATGGAGGGACTTGAACATATTGCCGCTATATATGCCTGGTGCCTTACCGCACATTCAGAGTAACTGTGCGTACCTCATGTCATACGCACTTGAGCCAGTGTGTTCATGCAATGTCCCCCCCCCCCCCCCCCACCCATGAGTGGCCCCAGGGAGTGGAACAAGATCCCTCAACACGTCCGACTTTCATCATCAGTCATCATTTTCAAGAAATCGCTCAAAACACATCGGTATCTTTAAATCAAATTAGCCTCATTACCTCTCATTATCACCTGGTTTTCTTGAGTTATTCTTGTATTGAGTTTTTCTTGTTTTTCTTGTATATTTGCAGTTTTGTACAGTGCTTTGATCTTTGTTAATTTAAGCGCTTTTTAAATGCTCTATTTATTATTATATAAGCCCCATCTTCTGTTCATACACAAACACCATACAAGACCCAGCTATTCATGGTGCAGAATGCAGCTGCCACATCAATGATATGAATCAATGACACCCCAACCCCTCCCTTCAAATTAGGCTTGGATCGGGAAAGATGAAGGATCGGGAAATAATGTCCATTCTGGACATTGGCAAATGAAATCACAGAAAAAAGGTTTTGCATATTTTAAGTACTGAATTCATTTCAATGAATTTTGATGAATTTTTCTGAATCAATAAGAAATGACAGTATGTTTGTCTAAGAAAGCAATGCAATGCCTAAAAAAATGTTCCCTTCATGGTTCAGGAATCCTATCTATAGATTCTGTTCTTACCAGTATTTGATCCATAGCTAGGTATACCAGTGGCTCTTGCAGCTCCTGCTCATCGACAGTTGCGTCTTCTGGGAGTGGCTTGAAATGAATCCGACTTGTTTCCAAACAAATACCCTTTTGAAAGAAGATAACAGTGAATATATCACGCCCAGAACAACCCAGTGTAAACAGGTCACATTATTAAAATCTGATTTACAACAGACTGCTCTCAAATTTAGGACCAAACTATACTGGATATCTCCAATCATGCAATGGACTTGACATGCAATTTGAAGAACCCACTAAATAAAAACCAGTTATGTTTTGATCTTCAATTCTAATGCTCAGAAAGCTCAGGTGGCTCTAGAAGGCCAGCATTTTGGTCGAGTTTGAAATAAACTTTTGGCATTTGAATGTATGCTCAGGATTTTTTTCTGCAAAGCATGAAAAATACCCCAATCCTACTGGGATATGTAGCTTGCTGTTACATGAGTAAAATATGTTCAGCTCACCTGATGAGGTCGTCCTTTGCTCAGTTTATCAAGATCCTTTCTATGAACTTCATGAATAAAGTTTCCTAGGTGTTTGTCCTGAACTCTCTGCATGATCTTCTGAACTGCAGGTCTAGCAGACTTCTTAAAGCTAGAGGTAACGTACACGTTGTTCACTTGCCTTCTATTGACTTCAAGGGCCAACAAACAAGGTGATATGCCATATAACATATCTGTCCCAGGAGGTGGCACAATGTCCTCAAATCTCCTTACAAAAACAAACAATGAAATATGGAACTTTCAAAAGCAGCATGAAAATAATCACTAGCTTCATAATATAGTTACAAGACATTTTTTTAAAGACATGAGAACATCAATCATCTTAGTAGCCTTTACACTATAGATGACCCAGCTATAGTGTAAAAATATATTGACTGCTTGAAGTGGTGTAGTAAAACTAGCCTTCTGAGGTGATCTGTAAAGCATTCTGTATTCCCGAGGTCAAGCCAAGGAAAATGGAGAGGCTAGTTTTACAACACCACGAGTTAAAGCAGTCAATATTTGCTTTATAATGCCTCACGCCCAGATTCTGCTCTGGTAAGAGACAACTTATTAACTTAAAACAAAATCCCATTAAAATGTACTTGTACTAGCTGAAAACTTTTGTAGGCTACCCCTCCATGAAATGGACCCAGCTCTGTAGCTTATAGTGCGTAGGATCAATACGGACAACGATCAATGCGCACACCCGTATTAACACATGCATACCGCCATGGCTATGTTGGTTGCTCTGCGAATAGTATTTTTTCAGCCGTTGTATAGTCTGTTTGGCCATGCACAGCTAGCGAATGCCATGTGTGACGTGACTCGTCTCGGCCAATCAAGATGTACAGAATCTGTGAGTGAGGTTTTATATCAGCTTAATCAGATCTCTGCCAATTCCTGATCACTATTTACAGACACAGTTTGTTTCCTGTGCCTAATAAATGACCAATGTCTCATATTTGGCTACTGTCACACAAAGGGTTTTGTGGTCTTATTTGAAAGTGGAAAAACTGTGAGCACGACATGGCAAACACAAAACATAAAACAAAGCAAATAATGATTGATTTCAGCCACAACACAGGACAGCCTGATCAGAAAGTTGAACAATTGCAGTATATTGCAGTATATCTTGCACAATGTAAACAACCTATACTAAAATCATTGTTCAACCTCTAGATGATAAACCTGGCATTCTTTTTGATATTACCTTGATTGATTCCTTTTTCCTGCATGCTTCGTCACTCTGTTTCCATTTCCAACCACAGGGCTAATATCCGAGCTCTGCAGCAAATCACCACTACAGCCAAAGTCATTGTCATCACTCACATGTTCAGCTGTTTCAAGTGTTCTGCTCTCATCAAGTCTTTCATTACTACAGGTTTTCCTTTTGGAGTCCAAACCACTCCTAATATGTTCATTTATGTTGCTGCTCTCTTTCTTTCGAGACTCAGGAATGTGACACAGTGACTTAATTTGATCACTTTTGTACGACATCTTCTTTACATCAAGCAAATGATATGAAACCCATTTCTTTTTCTTGTCTCTGATGAATGCACATGTAGACATGCGAGTAATAGTGGTCAATACACCTTGCTTACAACTATTTGTAATGACAAGGTATTTTAGTGAATATTCACCAAATTGCACACACTTATTTAAGTGGATGTAATTCCCCATAATTACTCTAATTGTAAATATCCTTGGTCTCCTTGGTCACACTAGAAGTGTTTGCAATTATACCAAGTGGACACATGTAGTATGGCCCGAGTTGGAAACCCGTAGTCCTGCAGTGACTGTATCCTAAGAAGTTTGTTGGAATATCTGAAAAGAAAAAAAGAGCTTAAGTACGAGCTAAGCAATTTTAAAATAAATTACATGTGCTTTTCAGTTGTTTTAGAATTTAATGAATTCATGTCAAAATTAAAGAAATTGTGTCTATATCAAATGACATGTTATTAAACATGACAAAGAATCAAATTAGTTAGACTCAAAAAGCTACAACAAACTTTGGTTACCAATTACCATGCTGGAACAAAACAATTGTATGTTGTGACATCTGTACCCTTAATGATGCCGTCTATACCCCTAGTGATGGGGTCTGTGCCCTAGGGATGCCATCTGTACCCCTAGTGGTGCCACCTGTACCCCTCGGGTGCCATCTGTACTCCTTGTTTTGCCATCTGTACCCCTAGTGGTACCATTTGTACCCCTCATAATTCTGCTAGAAATCTTAATCCTAACAGAACTCAACCCATCAAACCCCAATGGCATGTTTTGTTGGAATCTGTCAGAATGGGTGCAGTACCCCTAAAGTGTTTTACATTGGGTTGGCACACCTCAAGAATCAAAGTCGTGGAAAGAATGTTGCAACCTGACGCTACATCAGCGGTTGTGTGAAAAGTCTATGGAGAGTCAAGAAAATTTTCTCAGTATTTCCTACCAAAATTGGAAATGTTTCTCAGTCCCATATTCATGTCTTTTCATCATTTTTTGCAATGACTGACCTTCACTGGGATGATATATGAAGAAAAAAGCAGCGTCAGGTTGCAACATTCTTTCCAAAGTCAGAAATATGTATGTACAGTTTCCCACATGTTGTTGGAATTTGCCATGGTTCCTAGTAAATCATGTAGTTAGGGTTTTAATACTAAGTGCCAGCTACCACGTCCATGGTATGTTGGGCGTGATCAATGGATCTGCACATCACTCGATTGTGTAGAAATGCCGCAATTGCGCTATCCGTCGATCATGTAGGAAATTGCTCAGATTTTACATCCCTTTTTCAACACAATACTACTCGACCGTGAATTTGCAAGAACATTTGAACTGATGCCGCGCCATTGACAGATGACAGCACGATCAACTGTAGCCCCATAAATGTGGCCTATTTACTGGACTGCCTCCGTAAACATAGGCCACACATCCACATGTACAAAAATCGTGTCGACTTTGCCAAATTTTGATTTTCACATTTAGGCTTAGTTTGTAGGATTTTTTTGCTTTAGAAGCATACTCACCCTCTTTATAGGCTAGTCAGAAAGTGCTGCCTTTTTCAGATGTCTAATTTTTGTGAAATTTCATGTAGAAATTTTGATACGCAAACGTGTAAAAATGAATCTGGAAATTTCACGAAAAATATACATCTGAAAAAGGCAGCACTTTCTGATTAGCCTATAAAGAGGGTGAGTATGCTTCTAAAGCAAAAAAAACCTACAAATTGTAGGGAGGTCGGCGCAAAGGGGTCGATCTTCATTTGTATCTATTTGCGTGCGAAAGTGTGTTTCAAACTGGCGCAGTTTAACCTTTTTTTGAAACTGGAACAGTTTCTCTGATGAGATGATTACAGAGAGAAATGATGGATCTTTCCAATGATATATTTGTTTTGGATGATCGCCATATTCGAAATCGTGAAATCTGCTGTTGAAAACGATGTTTATTTCTGGGAAGTTGTGATCGCAGTCGCCCTGGGAGCGGCCATCTTGTTTTTAGCTCGTGACATTCACTCACGTTTTGTGGTGAGATTTGCCGAGATTTCGTCGGACAAAAATAGAAATGATATCATAGTAAAGCCAAAAAAAATCTCTTTCGACTCATACCAAGAAAAAGTACGCTAGATTTTGTTTGCCTTCCGATTTTGGAGATTTTTTTCCGACGAAATAAAGGTACAGATTGTCATGATTTTGGGCCAAAAAATCGTTAAAAATCTCACATGAGGAGTTCATGAAAGATTAAAAAAGGGGTAGTTTCTGAAAGGGTGGAATTTCAGGAGTTTGTGTGACTAGTTTTTTTGTTATGTTTCCCATGACGCTTTTTGACGCTGGGGGGTTTTGTTGTCGGGGTGCCTTCAGCAAGGTGATTAAAATATGGCGCGCGGCGGTGTCACAATGGCTGCCTATTTCTTCCTCTATGCTTTATACATGCATGAAGCAATAATATTTTTGGTGGATTGCTTTATTGGGGAAATTTACATTATACAAATATACAATTCTGCTATTGCTAAAAAATAATATAGTAATATTTCAACTGTTTCTGAATATTTTCCAAACTTGAACTAAATTTGCATTAAACATGTTAAAATAAGCTTATTTTGTCTTTGCTTTTTGCCTTAGGCTTCTAGTTCCTGAATATGTTTAGTCCAGACCAGAGTCTAACCAGACTGTTCTGAGTACAATGTATAATGAAGAACAAGATTCAATGGTTTTTTAAAATTATTTTTGAATATACATCTCTGCATAAGGCCTAAAAAAAGGGGACAAAATAAATAGGGCCTATAAAGTTAATTCCCACTGGAACCTACATATTGGAGAAATGTTGTCTGTCATCAAATACTTCCATACTTTAAAGATATACTTTTGCTAAGTTAAAAACCCTTTTTTTTTGCCGTATAATACTCTCAACACACAGTTGGGTGAATGTTAATGCAAGGTTTCCATGCATTTCTATTTTAGGTCCCTGGATTCCCATCCTGGTTCAAATCAACCTCAAATATGACAGCTCCGAGGAAATTTACACATATCAGCTATTAAAGGACTACCATAAAGAGGACCTGAGAATACAAATTTAGGATAATATGATCTCATCTAAATGAACTTGAAAATGTTTTCCAAACCTTTCTCAAATATTTTGAGGTGATTTTGGATTTTTTTTTTTATTTTACACCCCGCACCATGCCGACAGAATAATTAGGGTTGGACATGCCCCTTTAATGGACCATAACTTCACCATACTTTAAGATATAAACTTATAATTGGTACCATTTGATTTCTTATTAGAAGCTCTTTCCAATGATACCAAGTTTGTAATATTTGGACCCAAAAACCCCCAAAGTGCCGACCACCCTACTACAAAGTAAGCCTAAATGTGAAAATCAAAATTTGGCAAAGTCAACACGATTTTTGTACATGTGGATGTGTGGCCTATGTTTACGGAGGCAGTCCAGTAAATAGGCCACATTTATGGGGCTAGATCATGTAGATCATATCAACTGATGGTGCAGCGCGATCAACGGATCATGCAGATCCATCAGTCGAGCCCAACAACTGAGAGTCCAAAACTGAACTTAAAGGGAATATACATCATTTGCTTTTGCTGTAATTTTCAGAAATGGATGGAATTGGGGGGTTGGAAATATAAAGCAAATATAGTTACACTGACTTTTTGGAGGTTTTGGGTTCGAAAATGCTATAAAAACCAAGAAAAACGATCATTGTCCTGTAGTCTGGTTCCCTGACTCCATATAAGAAGAAACAGAGCAGTTTACATACATTGGGGAATTGTAAGGTCAGGGAACCAGTCTAGCTGGCTCGTACCCGTTCATAGGTTTGTAATCGATTGCAAACAAGTGCAATGGTCAATTGGGGCCAGTATTTGAAAAAAAAGCCAGTTGTTTCCAACGCTGATCGGCCGATCAGCGTTGGAAATTGATACAAAAATACCACTTTTCTTGAAAATGACAGTATACCAGGTGCCATAATTTTACAGGATGCTTTAGACTGTCATTTACCAACATCCTATTAAGGTATTTCGCAAAAACTTGGTAGTTTTATTTTTCGATGTTTGCAAATGTTGTATATTCCCTTTAACCTAGGCCGATATATTGATCGTGCAAAAGTTTGTGCTGCGTTAAAAAAAGCAGCGAGCGTTAAAATATTGTAAGCTAATTCTTATGCCCTTAAATAAGGGCCTTATCAATTGTTTCCCCCAATTTTTTTTGGGATGGCAGCGGAACACGTACCACACACAACAAATCAACTGGTTGTGTGGTACGAATATGCGCGTGTGCATCGCTACAAGGTCAAACCTCGAAAACTTGATGCCTCGAAAACAGGCACACGGAATTACAAGTAATACCCATAGTTCTAGGGGTAGCCTAAGCCTACGCTACGGAAGCTTGAATTGCCTTCCGAGATACCGCGTTACCGCGATAATTTTTCGCAGAAATCCGGAAATCAAAGATAATTCCTTCCGCAATACCGCGTTACCGCGATAATTTATCACAGAAATCCGGAAATCAAAGATAATTCCTTCCGCGATACCGCGTTACCGCGATAATTTATCACAGAAATCCAGAAATCAAAGATAAATCATTCAACGATACCGCGTTACTGCGATAATTTATCACAGAAATCCAGAAATCAGAGATAATTCCTACCGCGATACCGCGTTACTGTGATAATTTATCACAGAAATCCTGAATTCAGAGATAATTCCTTCTGCGATACCGCGTTACTGCGATAATTTATCACAGAAATCTGGAATTCGAAGATAATTCCTTCCTTGATACCGCGTTACCGCGATAATCATCACAGAAATCCGGAATTCTAAGACAAATCTACGGAAGCTTGAATTGCCTTCCGCGATACCGCGTTACTGCGATAATTTATCACAGAAATCCAGAAATCAGAGATAATTCCTTCCGCGATACCGCGTTACCGTGATAATTTATCACAGAAATCCAGAAATCAGAGATAATTCCTTCCGCGATACCGCGTTACCGTGATAATTTATCACAGAAATCCAGAAATCAGAGATACCTTTTCCTCGATACCGCGTTACTGCGATAATTTATCACAGAAATCCGGAATTCAAAGATACGTATTCCTCGATACGGCGTTACTGCGATAAATTATCACAGAAATCCGGAATTCAAAGATAATTCCTTCCGCGATACCGCGTTACTGTGATAAATTATCACAGTAACGCGGTATCGCGGAAGGAATTATCTCTGATTTCTGGATTTCTGTGATAAATTATCGCAGTAACGCGGTATCGTTGAATGATTTATCTTTGATTTCTGGATTTCTGTGATAAATTATCACAGTAACGCGGTATCGAGGAATACGTATCTTTGAATTCTGGATTTCTGTGATAAATTATCGCAGTAACGCGGTATCGAGGAAAAGGTATCTCTGATTTCTGGATTTCTGTGATAAATTATCACAGTAACGCGGTATCGCGGGAGGAATTATCTCTGATTTCTGGATTTCTGTGATAAATTATCGCAGTAACGCGGTATCGTTGAATGATTTATCTTTGATTTCTGGATTTCTGTGATAAATTATCACAGTAACGCGGTATCGAGGAATACGTATCTTTGAATTCTGGATTTCTGTGATAAATTATAGCAGTAACGCGGTATCGATGAAAAGGTATCTCTGATTTCTGGATTTCTGTGATAAATTATCACAGTAACGCGGTATCGCGGAAGGAATTATCTCTGATTTCTGGATTTCTGTGATAAATTATCGCAGTAACGCGGTATCGTTGAATGATTTATCTTTGATTTCACGATTTCTGTGATAAATTATCGCGGTAACGCGGTATCGCGGAAGGCAATTCAAGCTTCCGTACTACG